AATTCTGATTGGTCGACGTAGCGGAATTCAGTTTGGCGCTCGGGCAAGCAGACGGTAGTATTTCGTCGCTTGGCGTAAGAACTACAACGTCTGTGAGCTAGCCTGCATGGCAGGCGGTATTTCTACGGGCAGCGAAAATTAGGGAAGCAAAGGAAATATTTCCTACGTACCGCCTGCCATGCAGGCTATCTGTGAGCAGGCTATCGATCACCATCAAATAAATGAATGACTTTTGGCCCGATATAACAATTCTAAATTTTGGAATATAAATTTAGTTCAAAAAATGTCTTTATATGTCGACATAGGCAGCATCTACAGCGAAAGACTATATTGTGTAATACACCTTTATTATTTAAAATTATAGCAACATTAAACTGTGCTGTTAATGATAAGTAATTTACTAAAGTATAGTTGTATAATATTAAAACGATTAATGTAATAATTGCAAATATGATGACAAATTTTGTGACGATAAGCGTGAATAAGAATAGTGATGTGATCACGATGCATAAGTGTGATGATAAATATAATGTCAATTCTCATTCTTATTTATTATTGCAATCCACTATTATTGCGATGCCCAAACGTTTTATATTTGCTGATATAACTATAAGTACGCTAATCTGTTAAGCCTGGTTCACATTGATCTGCGATGTTCTACGATCCATTGTCTGTGAGCAACGAAGAAGAAAATGCACAAAACATTTTATATGCATCAATGACCACCGACAATGGGCATCGCCGATGTTTACGATCAATGTGAACCAGGCTTTAGTCTGTTAGCCTGGTAGTCGGTTAGTCTGTTTGTAGATTAGTTTGTTCGGAATCATAATAAGCCTTATTGTTTAATACAACTGTGGTGTAATCTGCGGCCCTGTTGTGTATTTGTTTCCGGTGCTTGCCAAGGACACCGCAATCTGTAGAACTATGCCTACATGGTTATATTATGAACGAGATAGTGATGATAATGATATATTGGCGTTGTGGTGTCCATCATGCGTTTATGATATCGAAATCTCGCACATAAACATTTCTTCATAATCTTAATTCCACGTCGGCGTAAGGCACTGTTCTTGTAGAAAAATATCAAGCAATTCAAAGTTGAATTGATGGTGAGGAAAGTGTCCTCCCAAAGGCGTATGACAATAAGTGTTCCGTTGTTATGATCATCATTGTGGCCAAACACTCGCATCAGCTTTAAGACACAAATAACAACAGTTGGAAAATAGCATACAGACAGACAAAAAATCGCTAGCAAGCATGTGGAAACTTTGCCCAGAGAAAAGTTATGTTTCTTGACTTTAATATTTTCCTCCTCAGAATCAAAAGTTCCCAGAGTTATGGCCACGCGTTTTCTTAATCTTTCCACCGTGGAAAATATTTTGTAGTTAAGAAAATACATCACGGAGAACACCGCTGTGATGAGGGCAAGTAAACACGCTTCTATGTACGTCTCTAAGGTTCGGTTTAGAAGCGCAAAATAGGGAACTCCAAATGGCAATTGCATTAGCACAAAAATAGCTAACAATCTTGATTTTGTCACGGAATTCTCGTGAAAAAATGGGTACACCACAGCAAGATATCTTTCCAGAGTCATAGTTAAAAGTGCGGTCAACGAAAACGCAAATAAATGTTCAAGATACAACAGGTCGACAGAATAATAATCAGTCATGGACAACCACCTGCATATAGTTTCCAAAATTATCAATGGATGAAAGATAACAACCACGGCGAGGTCAAAACAAGACAGAACGAGAATCATGAAGTAACATAATTTTCTTCGCAAATGTGAATTACATAGACTCATTATGACAACAGAGTTTAAAAATGTTCCAACAAATGTGAAGATAACGTTCACAACACACAACGGCATTGCGACAGTGAATTTGAAGAAGGCTGTTCCATTTGCTGTTGTGTTCACTGTATAATTGTTTGCTGTTGTGCTCATTGTTTTGCTGCGTGGTTTGTAAACTTAGTATATCTTCGTGTAAACAATACACAATCTAGTACTGTATTGAATTCGAAGACAACTGTTAGACTTTTTACGGTAAAGTTCATTACAATCTTCAGACGGTATTTGCCACACACTCTTTATTTTTACTCTACTATATTTACAATAGTTAAACTGCTGTGCTCATCTTAAGCATTCTCACCATCTGCTCAATGTCTATTTCCAAAGACACAATGCCGAGTTTCGAGTGCTCCCCCGTCTTGCAACTTGAAAACACCTGTGCAAAATATAAGCAACTTGAATGGTAATTTCAACCAGACCAATGACGATGATCTTTATTAAAACGTTGTCCCAATATTTACTGAGATAGTCAAAATTAAAATGTAAAATTTAACGAACGTTCGCATTGTCGTTTAAGTAAAGGCCTGTTTTTATGTTCCCGGCCAGGCGGGTCAGAATGCTTACCGAGATCCCGCTCGTAGGCCTAATACAAATTCAAGAGTGTTTATATGATACTCGAGTCGTGTGACTTGGACTCGAGTCGGACTCGAGTCGCAGTTTTTGTAACTTGTGACTTGACTTGTTAAAGAGACTGATGACTTGTGACTTGACTTGGACTTGGACAAAATGACTTGTGACCAACGCAAGTCAAACGTAAATATCTAGTGAAAATCAAGTTTCCCAAAATCTTTGTGTTGATCGATCGATCGTCGTGTTGTACAATTTGGGAACGACCTTAGTACATATGAATGGCATCGACAGAATTTTTGTCGGCGTTTTCTGACAAAGCGGTTTTTTTTCGCGATTTCGAGGTAAAGGGTATTTGCTCTTGGGGAGCGAAATACCCTGGTATGGCCTGGTAACGTGACCCGTGGATATTACGTAGTAAAATGGCGCATTGTTTACTAGGGTCGGGGGAGTGAGTATATATTGTCACTCCTACTAATTATATCACGCTTTTAAAGTTTAATGTACAACCTCGTACCCAGGGTATTTGCTCTTAAACAATACGCCATTTTAAGCAAAATCCGCGGGTCACGTGACCAGGCCATACCAGGGTATTTCGCTGCCCAAGAGCAAATACCCTGGGTACGAGGTTGGGCCACATGTGGCGATAAAATGACTTGTGACTTCACTTGAATTGACTTGCCACTCGGAATGACTTGTGACTTGACTTGACTTGACTTGGATTTAGACAAAATGACTTGTGACTTGACTTGAACTCAGAGCAAATGACTTGTGACTTGACTTGGACTTGCAGGAAATGACTTGTGACTTGACTTGGACTTGCAACATAGGACTCGATAACAACTCAGCTAGACGGGATCTCGGCAACAGATGCCGGGATCCCGTCTAAGCGAGATGAAAAATTCCGGCATATAAACACTTCATCTCGCCTAGCCGGGACGAAAAATTCTCATACTGTAAACATTTCATCCCGGCTAGGTGGGATAAATTTTTCCCTTTTGAGCGTAAATGCCTTTATTGCGACAAAGCACTTAAATGGCTTCATCCCGGCAATGTATTTTGTGCACATAAACACTAGGCGAGTATCCCGTCTAGGTGGGGATGAAAATGTCCCGTCCCATCTAGGCGGGATGATATAAGGAGAGCTCAGGCTAGCGCTTTTAAAATAAAGTAATTTAGCATTCCGCGCTTCCAAATACTAGGATCGTTCTAAGCCTTTTTCTAATTCAAGAATATCTTGGACGCAAAGTTGGTTTCTCCTGCCACGTCTTTAAAGGGAAATGGCAATATATTTTTTTATTTTCTCATTTGAAAGAACTTTTGAAACTATTTAATAACTTCCTTTACCGATTCTTCATATCTTGTTTAGTTCTTGAAATATTTTCACTTGAAGTAATGAGATGTCCGCCATCTTAGATAAATTTTTATCTCATTAACCGTAGTTTTGGTGACGTCACAACAGGGATTAACCATATGAAAGTATTCGTTGCTGACCAAATATTGATTGGTAGATGTTTTAAAGGTTTCAAGTCATCTTGATATTTCCAAGCGCATACAGAGTATAAGTTTGGGTGCAAAATGATTAGTGGTTGTCTAGATAAAAATATTCCGTGACCCCTGTTGTGACGTAACATGCATATCTACAAAAATCCAAGATGGCGGACATTTCATTTCTTTCGATTAAAATATTTGTAGAAGTAAGCAAGATATGAAAAAACGTTAAAAGAGTTTTCTATACAATTTTAAATGTTCTCTCAAACGAGAAAATAATAAAATATATTGCCATTTCCCTTTAAAGAGTGCCAAACACGAAGTACACCAAAATTGAGATGTCCTTTGAAAAATTCTTTCATATCCGACAAAATATAATTTTGTTGTTATTTCCCTTTTAGTTGGCAATTAAAAATGTGGATAACTGACTACTAGGACTACAAGCCTGTAGTGACTGACAATTGAGAACATAATTTAACATCCAGCCTGTACGTATCTCGGGGAAAGCGACCCACTGACAGCAAATTGGAGCAAATCTCCGGATCCGGAAAAATATACCTGACCTACAATCAACCAAAACCAGTTTATTAGGCCTGTACCTTTAAGGACCATTTACACGATACGATTAGTTGTATACGATTGTCATTCTGACGAATGAAAACGAGTGCTAATGCCACGTTATTGCTCATTCGCTGATGGCGAATTTGAAATGTGACGTTTGTACGCCTGTTTATTCGATCACATACGCCAGAGTAAGAATCGTATACAACTAATCGTACCGTGTAAATGGGCCTTTAGAAGTCAGATTCCTCAATACTGTTTTGATTAAAATTATTATTAACCCTTCACCACACCCGCACTCCCACCTCACCCCGCCCTTCTGAGACCACTGATCTAATTGAGCCATAATCCAGTTTCGAAAAGAGCTCAGCGCAATCCCATTTCTCGCGGGCCGTGCAGGCTAGAGTTTCGCGCCCTTTTTGAAATAAACATTTTCAATTCAAACAAAATGGTGTCAAAACATTTAAAATACGTATGCCTTTAATTTTGTCGTTGTTTGTTGCGAATAAACGAACTATAGATGTAGTGATCTCGTTGTGTCTAGTTTAAAGTTTATAAAAGAGTTATTCGATAGGTTTTAATGGCTCAGCAACGTCGACAACAACAGCAAGAAGAGGAGGATGTCGAAGAAGACGGCTATGGCGCCCCACTTGTTGTCAAGAAACTCGAGGTATAAACCCGTACAAACAAACAGCGATGTTTTATTATTTGAACCGTTTGGTTTTAGTTTTATGTTACAACTGATGTTACTTTCAAAGCATACATGAGATATTTATGTGCATCAGTGACATATACTAACTACATAGTAAATATTAGTTAAAATAGCTTTAGAATTTTGATGTAAATGGGTCTGGGACTGCCTGTAAATGGTTTTACTATAAAGTGGAAGAGTGCAGCGCATTGTCACCAGCACTTGTTTGCCATATGATGGCAAATAGACCTTATGCATAATGACGTCACAAGGCTTGATGCCTGTGTGGAGTGCTGGTCTTAGTAGTCATCGCCTGAGAAAATTAAACAATTGAAAACGGCCACTATCGAAATTTTCCTGGGCTATGACACAGAGTAGAGACATACAGAGACGTAACTGACCATTGTGACCCACTTTTTTTCAGGCAACCGGGCGAAAAATGATCAACTGCGCGTGCTCAGCAAGTTTAAAGTGAGTCGTCATCAGGTCGTCATCCAATCAGATGCATGCATCGAGTAACTTGCCGAGCATGCGCACAAAAAAGTGGGTACACTAGTTACGTCTCTGTATGTCTCTACTCTGTGGCTATGACTACTAATACCAGCATTCCTCACGGTCATCAAGCCTTGTGACGTCATTATACATAAGGTCTATTACTGTATTTATGAAATAGAAGCATTTAGCATAATTTGGTTGTCCCCATAGCATTTAGCATAATTTGGTTGTCAAACAACTACATTTGAACATGTTTTTGCTTGCTACTCTGGCTTTAATTAATAAATGAATGCAAAGCACATCCGAATTGCATTCACAATGCAACATTTTGACACTCCAGTCTAGTGTCTTCATTTAAGGGGCAATCTGAAGTCACAGCGTGACTTCTTACACTATAATTACACCCATAGGATGACATCATCTGCCAACAAGATGTATATATTCTTGTGGCAAATAAGCACCATCATCCCTATTCAAAGCATCATTACTCATATTAGTATGCCAAGCTTGTAGGCAACGTCTTTGGCCATGGCGATCGTTAAGGTACGTTTACACGCTACAATTAATTGTGTACAATTTGTATTCTGGCGTATTAAAATGAGTGCTCGCGCCATAATTCATTGCTGTTTCATTAAAAAGAAATTTCAAATGTAGCCAGCTTACGTGACTACGCGTGTTTACTCAATGACATACGCCAGAAAACAAGTCGTACACGATTAATCGCAGCATGTAAAAGTAGTTTTAGTGGGAATGCAATCATGAAGTCACATGTTTGGTGGCACACACATGTTCTGCTAAAGCTGATTCCCCCTTATTTAAAGTCGAAACAGCCTTTTGATGTTCTTTTAGACATGTGCAAACTGGCGTTTAGACTGACTCAGATACCCTTTCTCACAGTGACTGCATGGTATAGAATACACTGTACAACATGAGTTTTCTGATTTGTTTCAACAGGATCTTTTGAAAACTCTAGAGTTATTAGCACTTAAACAATTGCCAAAGATGTTGCCTAGAATTGTGGCATATAAATATGAGTAATTATCATGCTTTGAATAGGGATTGCTTATTTGCCACCAGAATATCCATATTGATTGGCAGATGACGTCATCCCATGTGTATATGTACTGTAAGAAGCCACTTTGCGACTTCAGATCACAGCTGATGAAGACTCTTGACTGGAGTTTCGAAATGAAGATGAAATTTATATATATATTTTTTTTCACGCTTTAGTTTACAGGTACATATTACCCCCTGTAACCCCCACCCCCATGTCACAGAATACTACACAGAAGTCCATCTCCATATGTTTCTAGTGTAAGCGCCATTCGTCATGATTCGTCACTCAGCAAGTACCGTAAACAGAAGCAGCCCCCCCTGGAAATACTCAAAATGGTGCAATTCCAGGGGAGTGACTGCTTCTTTTTACGGTACTTGATGAATGTGACGAATCATGACAAATAGAGCTTACGCAAAAAACAATGGAGATGGACTTCTGTGTAGTATTCTGTGCCCATGTATAAGCCTATCAAAAAATGCTTATGATTTGAGTATAACCTCATGGCTTAATATTTGGAGGTTTACGGTACATGTTCCTTTGTTAGACATGGTCATCATATTTTTAAGGGACATGTCATATACTGTCAAAGCTATTCTTGCAGATAACGGGAAGCGATCTCTACAACCAATGGTCAATATCGTATATTACCATGTACATGACATTCCTGCAACCTGTTTAGTGATGTACCAATGTGGAAATTTACCAATATTGAAGAGCCAATATTGGCTGATACCAATATTCCATTTTACTACAAAATTTGGCAATGGGTCATTCCAGAAAAGATCCATACTCCCCCCAAGGAGGAAATTTTTGCCATTCAGAGGGGGAGGGCAGAAAATTTTGTTTCTGATAATAGTAAGTGTATTAGGCCATTCGAAGGAGGTAGGGGGGGGGGGGTAACTTCCAATTTCCCCTGTTGGAGAGGTATGATTGTTTTCTGGAATGACCCAATTGGACTTACTGTCAGTTATAGTAGAAATTTCATCATAACTACAGGTATGGTTGCGAGTGACCAATTAGCCATTTCCCAATCAAGCATCTAGGATTGGGTCTGGTTGCCTGTTTGGACGGACAAAAAATAAACAATATGCCGAATATGGCATCTAGGAAGTTTTCTTACATTCCTAAAGTTATTTGTGCAGCCCGAAATGCAACAATTATAATAACGCATCTTAATATATATTTAGCTTGCTCACTATAACTTGTTGTCCCTCGAAACATCAACTAGACCCAGTCCTCTGCTCGATTATGAATGGCTAATTATGTACAATATTAACACGTACCATAGTGATCATACATGTATATGTACATTGATAACATCATGGATAGGAAACTTCCTGACGTCACAGTCTAAACCTAGTTGCAATCTGTGACGTCACGCGTATCGCCAAAGTTCTGGGCATTTTTGTTGTTTCGCTATATTTTCTGCTTTACAAGAGTAATATTGAAGCATAAACTGGTGTAATTGTTTTAAAAACATGCCTAAGCCACGAAAAAATATTCAAGGTAAATGTTTTTCGCCTTTGTTTTGTATTTTTTTACATTTGTAGTTACGAAATTGGCGTCGCCAATTTTAACGAAATTTGCGATGCATTTTTCACTGTTTAGTGCTTGAAATATTTGCTAAAATTGACTGGAAATACTTAGAGATTTCATCGTAGAATGGCTTAGTTATATTTATTTGCTCTTTGACTAAAATGTTTAGCTGTACTGTATTATTGCTAAACATGCCGTTTTTGAGAATTTGGTTTGCAACTAGGTTTCAACATGCAATCACGCCATCAGCCCATTGAAAACATTAGGTCACGTCAGCTAGTTTCCTATCCATTTATTTTATCCATGATAACATCTTTGAATATGGCTATGTATTGAATTTATACCGTTACATTCAGGTCACTGACTGAGTTGTGTTATTACCGAATTGGTATCCAAAATTTTTGGGCATCATTTTCAAAATGCTGATAAATTTTTTTGTAAAACAATACCGAATAATATTGGCAACAAAAATATCGATACTTTGAATTTAGGACTGATATCTGATATGGATGTCGGTGCATCACTAAACCTGTTCATTTAATAAACAGTTTCATTCTCTTCAGCAATATGGTATAAGTGCAAGTGATATCAAGAAGCTTGAAGATGCTGGTTTGCACACAATAGAAGCTGTGGCGTACTCATCGAAAAGACATTTGACAAGAATTAAAGGAATCAGTGATGCTAAGGCAGACAAAATACAGCAGGAAGCATATAAATTAATACCAATGGGATTCACAACTGCTACTGAATTTCATGCAAAGAGATCAGAATTGATTACAATTACGACAGGATCTAAAGAATTGGACAAACTACTCCAAGGTTTGGATTTTTAGCTGCTTATATTTTATATTGATTTTCTATAATTACATTATATAATTATATAAAAAGTTGATTGGCAGAGAGCACTCCAATTTTACTGAAATAAACTGTGCCATGCAGAAATGAACTTGAAAACAATAGTCAATACTCTGTGCAATATCAAAATTTGTTTTTGTATAAACCAGTTTTTTGAAAAGATTGTCTAATATAGTTTTCGTCAGTATTTCAAAGCTACAGTGCATGGATGTATAGCTGTCTTTCTCTTACAAAATATTTTGACTGTTCGCGATGATGATGGGATGGTGGGTTCGATTCTCGCTACGGACTCATGTGAAAAGAGTAAGTCAACGCTCTGCCGAAAGTCGTGGGTTTTCTCCTGGCGCTCCGGTTTCCTGCCACTGGGAACGTTGACAGGGTGGGTTAGGATAAACATAGTTAAGAAAGTAATCGCAATTGTTGTAAAGAAATAAAGATACAGTAAATAGGCTAAGTAAGTACAGTAACATAAGTAAGCGTAATACTTAATGTAATCGGTCACTGAAAAGCCCCAATGGGGAGTGAGCTGAATAATAATGTAATGTTACTTAACCGCCAGATACGTGTACAACATGACTGCACGTCGATGATCACCATGCAAACTTTGTCCTCAAAGATCGTCCATGCAGCTTCCCCAATATAAAGCATGCCATATCTACTAGAGGTGTGCAAATCCGATCCGAATCCGATCCGATTCGTTCGGATTACGGAACCAAAATATTCATATCGGATCGGATTGATAAAGTTGTTTTGTAGTCGGATCGGATCGGACTTCGATATCCGAAATAAAATGAATTAATTATCCACGCATTTTCGAAAGAATTCATTATCCATGCATTTATCAAGGCATTATCGCGGTTGTCGCTGCATTATTCGTATGATACTGTACTTCAATTGGACGTCACTTTGTCAGCTTCTTGACATGTATTTCTTGCTTTTATATTTATTTGGTTAAATATTTCAACTTAAATGAGAAATTTATTTTGTTAAAGAATTCTTCGGATCGGATCGGATTGGAATTCTTTATCAAAACTCGGATTGGGTGCGAATTAGACAATTTCGGATCGGATAGGGTTTTAAACATTAGGCAATTGTCGGATTATAAACGTCCGATCCGATGCACACCTCTAATATCTACTGCATGATATGCAGCTAGTACATTAGATGAGATGGGAGGAGTTATACTAAGACCAAGGGGTTATCGGAGCAAATTGAAGATGTTTCAGGTTCGTTTTTCAAGATATGGAAATTCTTCCTAATGACATCTCTAAGTTTGAGATTGAAAGCATGATATGTTAATACTATTCGAATTTTGTTGTTTATTACCTGCGACATTGGACACAGGGTCTATATAAAGGCCTGATTCCACGAGCGCTTTTTGTCAGCGAAATGTGAAATATTTCGCCTGTTTCTTTTGAATTGCGACCACTCAAATAAATTATTTCTACTTGATTGCTCACAATTCAAAAGAAACAGGCGAAATATTTCGCATTTCGCCGAGAAAAAGCGCCCGTGGAATCAGGCCTTAAGGGTCTCAGTTCGGGGAATTTGGGAGGCCTTCGGATAGGTCTGAGAGAGAAGTTGGATATAGCCACGCTGGACTAAAAAGTGTCTCATTTCCAGACTTTTGGTTTGGAAGTCCTCATCTTCACTGCATGCGATGTATTCTGTAATGTGATTTGCATTTTTTGTGTACAGTACTTTGTTTTGACTGAACCATCTGATTAGTTTACTTTTTGTCACGCGTAATCGCTTTTATATATATTCACCAGTACAAAATCTCATGTAATTTTCCCGACCGCCACAAAATTAACCTATACTGTAACTTCCCGACTAAAGCCCATTTTCCAAAAAATTCACCGGGTGGAAAATGAGCTTAAGGGCCTTCGCTCGAAACGTCGAAGTTCTCCTTGTATTTTTTCATGTAGTTGCATGACTATCAACCGAACTTTTGTTATTATTGCCACTACCTGCACTGGCATAGATCATATAAAATAAAAGGGATCACAATTTGCAATGCAATGAAAAAATTGAAACTTTTACAGGTGGAATTGAGACTGGTTCCATAACAGAAATATTTGGTGAATTTCGTACTGGAAAAACTCAACTTTGCCATACATTGGCAGTTACTTGCCAGGTAAGTTTATACCTCTTGTTGAAAAATGTTATGTTATATGTAGATATTTAGGGGTTTTACCAATTCGACTAAGGTGATCGCTAGATAGTATACCTCAAAATAAGGTTTCCGTAACCCTAATACTAACCCTAACCTATCCTAACCTAAACCCTAACCTAAACCCTAACCTAACCCAAACTTATTTTAAAAATTGATATAAAAACGGAAACCTTATTTTGAAGTATACTATCTAGCAATTGCCATTCGACTAACCCCCAATTTCGAATTTACAGCAGTTTCACCTGCAAGGCGATGTAACCCAACCAGCGGCTAAAGGATATCAAATGTTTGGAAATTTCGAGTGGATTTCTTATACATTTTATTAGACCTAATTAGGACCAGTTGCAGGGCTGCAAATTACTGTCGGACATCGGACAATGTCCGACTAAATTTGGCAAATGTCCGAGCAAAAGTAATTTTGATCGGACATTGGTCAGATCACAAAAAAATTTGGTCAAATTATACATTTTTTTGCTGTGACAAAATTCGATTGCAAATTCACTCAATTTATTTTGCAATAAAATTGACGAGGCATTCTAGCATTTTACTTTAACGTTGCGCCGGAATGGCTATACATACTTGTCCTGTGACTTAGCCTATATATATCTTGTGACGTATATATGTCCGACCAAATTTAATTTAGTGGTGTTGGTTTTTGTCCGACCAAATTCAAGTTATGTCCGACCAAAATTAAAAGTGATCGGACAAATGTCCTGTCAAGTCAAATATTTATTTGCAGCCCTGAGTTGCGAAAAATGCAACTATCGGCCCTCTGGTAGGAATCGAACCTGTTACCCTGCGATTCCGGTGAAGCGCGAGTAGAGAGACTCACAGTTGTCGAGCTCTATAACCACAAGTTAGGTCTAATGTATAAAATTGAGATGCTCAAAATCCTGATATTTGCATTGGCATCACTTTAGTATCAATACATGAACATGTAGTTAGAGCTGGACCTCAACTGTCTCTCTGTATAGCTCTACCGGTTGGAGCGCTGCTGCACCGGAATCACAGGGCTGCAAGCTCGATTCTTGCCAGAGAGACTATATAGTTGCATTTTTCGTAACTGCCCCTGGTTCGATCTGATAAAATGTATAAATTAAAATTCCACTCGTAATTTCCATCTACAAATCCCTTTATAAAATGTTTTCTACAGTACAGTCGGTGAATGAGTCCCTGTACAGTATATTTATTGTACGAGCATATTCAAACCAAATCATCTCTTATTAAATTATAGTTGCCAATTGACATTGGTGGGGGAGAGGGTAAAGCAATTTATATTGATACTGAGAATACATTCCGACCAGAGAGGCTCCTTGCTGTGGCAGACAGGTTAGCATCTGCAATCTGCATGTAAATTTAATGATTATCAATTTTCTTAACACATATAATTTTACCTTTTTATAAAATATGCGTGTACTAAATCAACACGCACCTTGATTCATAGCCTTAGCCTGCTGCACCTCCATAGTTTAAGCACATGCCTAACTTCAAGTTCGAAACATACGCTTCAAAACATCAAAATTTAAAATTTAAATTACAGGCCAGCTCCAAAAATTATGCGGAAGCAGAGAAACTACAGTACAATATCCGACAATAATGTTGTAACACCTAGGCTTTTCCCCTGCTACATGATGTTTTAACTATATGCTAAAATAAGTTAACATGGAAACGAGGCCATTGGGTAAAAGAGAATAATCGGTAAGGTTTCTTGTATTAAGTTCACAATGTTGAATGGTTTTGTACTGTAGATGGATTTTTTTAGTGTCAATTTTACGTTTATTTAGACCTAACTTTTCAACTTTTAACAATGATATTTTCGGGAAATTTTCTGTCCGTGGAAATTTTTCTTGACAGGATGATATGGGCCTTTGCAAAATGCCTGGAAATGTCATTTCAGAGGGTTTAAATTTCCGAATTTTCACAACATGATGTTTTACATGATGTTGTGAAAATTCTGAAACGTTGTTTTAACTATATGCTAAAATAAGTTAACATGGAAACGAGGCCATTGGGTAAAAGGGAATAATCGGTAAGGTCTATTGTATTAAGTTCACAATGTTGAATGGTTTTGTAGATGGATTTTTTTAGTGTCAATTTTAAGTTTATTTAGACCTAACCAGAGCAACTGCCATAAATGCACCAGGACTGCAGGAATGAATTGCAGGTTCGACTTCTGGACGAGGGCCTATTCAGAGGAGGAGTGAGGGTCTTCCCACAATGCATTGCGTCTCATTATTATTCACAATTACGATTTTTGGCAAACGTTAACGAAAAAGTTGTTGAAATATATTGCGATTTTTGTCTCTGAAGATTTTGTTTTTTCGAAGGTATGTGATGATAATTGTTTTGTTTGGACATCTAATTAAACAGTTTTATATTTTTTTGGTATAGATATTGCTTTTTAGTTATGCTAATTACGCATTGTATTTATGCTTGTTTCGGGTCAATGGACACGCCAAAAAAGTGGCTTTGAAATAACGCAGGAGCGAACTACCTTTTTTAATGAGAAAAGTAAAAAAAAACACGTCATCAAATTCAGGAAGACTTGCTCTTTCTGTTGGTTCTTTAAAACGCTAGATCGCTCCTCCAAATCGACAAGCAATCGCGGTTTGAAAATGGGGTATTTTTGCTATATTTTAATGCCGATGGCGGGAATAGACGGGTGTCGATCCTTATGGCGCGAAGGAAACTATTTTCTATATCTTTGAAACATACGCATGTAGTTGTTACATATTTCAAAATATGTGTAATGTTACCTTTACAATTAAGGTCAGAATGTTAGTTTACTGTATCGACTGTATTTTTGTCATTTTGTTATAGAATTCGGACATGGAATTCATGGAATCATGCAGATAGTAGTGATGTTGTCATTGTTAGTGACGAATGAAATGATACTGCCATATTAAAAGCGAGTATATACGAGGGTATATACGTCTAAAGGTGATACCCCAGGGAAACCTAATAATAAGAGACACAAAATTTCACGTTTGAAGAATTCAACATCAAGTCGAACTTTGTTTCAGAGTCCTGGAACATCACCAAAGGGATAAAAGTACAAAGGTTTTTACAAACATAAAATACAGTACGACTGTACAAAAACATTGTATTTTAAACCCTTTAAGTGGCAATACGCCCTGATGCACCCTACTTTAGTATTTTACTCTGTCTAATGCTAGACCATTTTACTCCTCAAGTGGAGAGTGCTGCCACTCAATGGGTTAATGAGACAATGAGATGTTAATGGGGGGGGGGGGCTAAAAGTTATTATCATAGTAACAATAACATTGTATTTTAATGCTTTTTTGCCTGTGAGAATTTCTGTCCATAGGCATACGAGGCTGGGGGTTGCAACCCTCCAGTCAGTGTTCAGTTGGGCAGGATTCTGCTTTAAAAATTGGGCAATTGTTTTAAGATTGACTTCAAACAGAATTTCTGCAAGTCTGCATAGGAGTTATGTTCCTTCTATTTTATACCTCTTGTTCATCTATAAATAAACTCATGACAATGTCGGGCAATTTCTGTCCACCCGTACGCCAATGATATTTTTCAATGCTGGGAGTGGCATTTCAGAAAACCTATAGTGCACAAATTTCCTGGAGAAGCATGCCCACAATCCTGGTAAAAATCCATGAGTTTCTTTGTTGTTGTCTAATGGTGCTGGCACTGACATTGCCTCTCTCACTTTTGCTGTTTGTTTTGTAGTTTCCTATCACAAAGATTTCCTCCAAAGAAATTCCCAGTAAAACTTCATAAATGGACATGCGAGGAAGATAAAGCATTCATTGAATTCATATCTGTTGCAGATAATCATGCAAATGATTGCAATTGAAGAGGTTTACCAATTATGTAATACCTCTAGATTGTTTTAATACATCATTAAGCTCATATACTATTCATGTGTACTGGTGAAATGAATGTAATGCAACATTTTAAAAACTTCTCTTTATTTGTGCACATAATTTTTTTTTTTTTAAAAACCATTTTAATTATCTTTAAGTACAGTAATATTATGTTAACATTTTTTCGATTTTAAAATAAATAAATTTTATAAACATCAATTATGTAGTGTGTGATCTTTTTATTAATTTGTGATGAGCAAGAGAAGACTATACACTGAAAATCGTGAATACCATAAACCTCCGAATATAAGCCCCCCCCCCCTGTGTATAAGCTCCCCTTGTGTAAGCCCATCAAAAATCACTTACAAAAGAATATAAGCCCATTGCTTATAGTTGGAGGTTTATGGTAGATTGTCAAAAAACTGCAGAACTGATAAGATGGTGTCCATGGGATACAATACTTATGGTATAATGGGTCATTCCAGAAAACATCCATACCACCCCCACAGAGGAAATAGGAAGTTAACCCCCCTACCCCCTTCGGATGTCCTAATACATTTACTATTATCAGAAACAAATTTTTCTCCCCCGCCCCTCCGGACGGCAGAACTTTCCTCTGTGGGGGGGGAGTATGGATCTTTTCAGAGTAGTCAATACATTTATATATATAGTGTCATGATAGTGCTGAATCGCCTCCATTTCATTCTCTACAATGCTATCACTGGGTGCTTCTTCCATCATTTGGTGTGTATGAATGTGTGTCAGGGCAAACAGGATTTATTGGTAAATTAAAACAGCTACAATCAGTTGGTTGATGTAATTCTATTGGTGGAAGTACACTATCCAACTCATCATCTTGACTATTTGGGATGTTGGTGATGTTGAAATGTCAAACTCCCAACAACATAATATTGTTATATTCTTCGTTTATACCTCCTTCCCGTGGATCATTAGGGTCGAAGAACTACATGATATGAAATAAAAATACGTTTTTAATAATACGTACTGCTGTATTTTTAATACAACATAGGAGGATTTTTCTATTTTTATTTAATATAAAAATCATCTCACCTTAAAAACACAACTAGAATGAATTTGTACCAGTGCAGGACTACCGCAATCAGCGAACAAATTCATCAATTTTTATCCCGTTAACCACAGCTGGACAAAGGACTATTCATCGAACTATCCATAGAACTATAGACATGAACCTCACGACATTCAAGTTCATCACACGGTAATCCTTCCGAAATTAAGATTAAAGGCTGTTTTGACACACAGTGAACACACCTCAGAACACACAGAAGCTCGTGTCCACCCAAAAACGAAGCTTTCTTTCCATGGATAGTGCAAAAATGCACCATTTTACAATTTTTTTTCTATAAATCTTTTCTGAATCTCTTGAAACCTCGAGGTGTAAACACAGCGAAAGCCGACCGAACAATGACGGCGCAGAGCGAGAAATCGATAATATGTAAAAAACCGCGCCTGACCGCGTTGCATGCCGGTATAGTCCTCACTCCTCTGGGGCCTATTGTAGTATTGTAGTTGCATTTTCTGTAGCTAGTACAGAGTACTACTGGTTAGGTCTATTACACTCGAAATTTCCATGGACAAAAACCTTCAACATTCGTAAATAATACTGGTATGTTCACAATATAATTTTTGGGTTTTGCTATAGATATACGACTGGTTAGATTAAGCCAAATTTTCCATGATTTGTAACCTTTACAAGTATGTGATGCTCCTGAATAGTATTGCTTCATATTTTGCTCTAGATATGGCCTTGATGGACAACAAGTGATGGATAATGTGGCATATGCTAAAGCGTATAACACAGAGCACCAATCTCAACTCTTGCTCAACACGTCAGCAATGCTCTCAGAGTCTAGGTTTGATTATACTGTCGATGCAATAGAAGTGTTGATAAAATATTGCACCAATTCCTTTCCTCAGGATGATCAATTCATTTGAAATAAAATTGATCATCTTCCTGTTACTTCTAGATGAGCCAATTAGATTTCGTTTCAGAACCGATTGACCAATAGGAAACGCACAGGAAGTAAAAAGAAATTTAAATTCGTATGAATTGATCAACTTGACGAAATGAATTGTAATGTTTTATCAACACTTCTATTGCATCGACAGTAACAGTACAATACAGTTAGTAGCTACTGTATATACTAGTTAATAGTTAACAAACGTCTTGTTTGAGATATTAGTCAGAGTGGTTCGGATTTGACTACTACATCGGATGAATACAGTATATTTAGAAGATCCATGCATGGTGACACCATGCAACACCCAACTGTGAAATAGCACAAATATGGAGTTTTTACATAACATTCACCGGAGTGCCGTAATAACGTTGAATATATGAAAAGTATATATTTTTCAACGTTATGACATCATGCAATGGAAATACGAAATACGGAAACACGACTATAACAAAATGGCTCCGCCCACCGCCATTGTTCGCACCAAACTGCAGGTTTAAAGGGAACAACTTTTCAAATATAATCAAGAAATATAAAAAGGCACCGACGAATGGTTTTGAAAGTTGAAACATCTCAAGGTACTTATGAAAGAAAAAAGAAAAGAATTGGGGAAAACATGATCATTATTTCGCGAATTGAACCCACAGGTGCGGATGTCTTGTTCATCTTTTAAATAAATAATAAAACAATTATTGGATTCGGTTTTCGCCAGATATGAAGAATAGGCAATTCCAGCTTTTAGTTTATGCGCGCAGGGGACGATGGGAAGTAAGGTATCACATTGCTGATTATGCTGAAATATAAAAATGGTGGCCGTGTAAACACGGAGTGATAGCTTATACTTATTGAAATATTTCGGTTGCTTCGGTAGTTTTTATTGAAATTTTTCAGCATAATCAGCAATATGATACCTTACTTCCCGGCAGGCATAAACTAAAAGCTGGAATTGCCTATTAGCAAGCCCTCAATTTGTGTTATCAACCTAAGCTTTCATATCATACTCAACCTCACGCATCTGATTGGTTAATAGTCCATTAAAGGTAGCGATAGTGGAAGTGAAATCTTAACATCTCTGACTTAAAATTGACGGAAGCTAGACAATTATATAATGGACTTTAACATTCGTAGTCTTTGTTATACTTTCTGAACCTAAGGCACCAGTCATTATTTATGGGAGGGGCACCGAAGAGCAAAGGTCTGAGTGAGTAAAAGGTTGGGTAAATGAAAAACAAAACAACTCAATGGTTGGGTAATGTAATTTCCAAAGCACGACTCACTCAAATATTGAAGACTAAAAAGCAATGTCAACAGTCATATGTCAGTACCATATGTAAACATGAAACTTTAGACTGCAGAAAATTGCACAAGTGGTTATCAAACTTATGTCTGAGAAGTGGTAATTTAAAATGACATGTATATTTGTGTCAGTATCGGACAACTGAACGGTATCCTTTTGTAAAGTTTTTAGCCAGGGTTCCCCATTATATTAGAGGTTGGGTAAAAAATGTTTTGACTTTTTAATAGTTGGATCAGCAAAATTTTTACCAAGTAAAACATTTCTCTTCGGTGCCACCCCCGCCATAAATATTAGGGAGCTTTAGCATCGTCTACGAGTACAAGTACTAGATTTGATCACGTTCGTAGTCGTTCTCATTTCCGTTTCCGTGGCAGTAGACAAACAACGAAAGAAAAAGTTTCTATAAACTAAATCTCATGCAGGCTAAAATCCCCCTACAAAATTAACCCTTCATGAGGAACAACACTGTACACGAATTAAGTGCAAATAAGTCCTGAATAAAGCCCCGTTTACACGAGCAAATTTTATTTGACAAACTTCATTTGATCAAAAGCTAGCATGCTAGCTTTATGCTAGCTTTTGTTTAGCCTGCGAACAGGCTCTCAAGCTGAATTGAGAGCCTGCATCGATGACTAATGAATTTGAATATCTGCCCCGTAACGTTCGTTTTTTCCAAATATGGAATGTCTATCCTTATATGGTGTTGTTTACAAACTTCGTGCAAACTAAATTTAGACCGTGCAAACTAAATTTAGACCGTACAGTTTATACTGTTTTTCGAAATAGAAGATATTGAAGAAAAAGTTCAAATGTTAAATACTGTTTTCACAAAACAGTACATTTCGTACTTTGAGATAAGACGGCCAGGACCAATTTGATCAGTTAATGTGTTTTTTATGCATAGTGCTTCAGCAGTTGACATATATAGAGCTCAGCGGAAACATATAAATTATAGTATTTGACCAATGAGAATTTCGCGTCACGATTTGAGACGCAGATATTCAAATTCATTAGTCATCGATGCAGGCTCTCAATTCAGCTTGAGAGCCTGTTCGCAGGCTAGCTTTTGTTCAAATGCATTTGTCACAGTAAATTTGTCACAAATTTATCATCTACACGAGCAAAATATCTTTGACATATGAAATTTGTCAAATAAAATTTGCTCGTGTAAACGGGGCTTAAGTGGAGTTAAAAACAAGCCAGATATTTAATACTAATAGATTATTTGCGCCAGATAAACAGAAAAGAAAAAAAGTGTCTTTGTTTTTTCAAATGTCGTCGTGAGGACGACCAGATTTCCAAAATTTCGTACTTGGATGGGCGATGGCTACGACTTTTTCAACGTGCGTTTCACATTGACGAATCTCGCACTCGTTGTCGCTACTAAAGCTCTGTAATGACTAATGACTGGTCCCTAACCGGCGAATGCAAAACGTCGTAAAGTTTTTTTTATCTCTTTGAATAATCTTTGTTTTCATTATCTTGTCCAGGTATTCTTTAGTTATTGTGGACAGTGCTACCGCTCTTTACAGAACTGACTATTCAGGCCGTGGTGAACTTGCTGATCGTCAAATGCATTTAGGAAGATTTTTGAGGACTCTTCTCCGATTGGCGGACGAGGTAAACAAATTTACTTGTTTGACATGTTTAAGGAATAACCTTTCACCCTTTTCAGCAGCTAGGCGCTTGGACCCGCTTCCCTAGTTAGAACACTACTGCCTTAGCTTCCGCTAGTGATTAATATGTAATTGGTTAACGGTTGAAAACACTGCCACCCCACTCCTACTTGATTTACTGTAGCTGGATCCATCCCTGGTCTAAAAAACGTATTAAATTCAACATTAATTCCAAACTATTAATTCTCCTTACATTTTTTATTGCAGTTCGGTGTTGCTGTAGTCATAACAAACCAAGTGGTGGCTCAAGTGGACGGTGCTTCTGTGTTTCAAAGTGATCCAAAGAAACCAATAGGAGGACATATTATGGCACACGCTTCCACAACAAGGCAAGTTGAAACGCTTAGTTATTACTCTGCCATTATAACTTGTTGCCGGTCGTATTCGCGCTATTGTGGTTTTTGCTTTTGTTTCGGCTTCCACAACCTTGAAACAGTTGAGAACTATTGTTATTCGTTTTCCTAAAAATAGAGTCTGGTGCGAGTCAAAATGCCCTTTGAAATCCGCCATTTGGTGGAGACAAAATTTTGAAGTACGCATTCTATGTCTATTTTTCTATGAAACTTTGTAAAATCGTTTGGAGTTATAAACTACCATCGAAATAATTAAAATTGGTTCAGATAGGAAATTTTGAATTTGGTTCCACCATTGCCCCGATATACCGACCGGTCATTTTGGAAGAGAATTCCTCAAAATAGTATGAAATTTGTGGTTTTCGTAGCTATAATGTGCGGAACTCATAAACGTTTCACTGCATGCAGGTATATGCTTTTGAGATTAAAATATTCCTTGCAACAGGCTGTACCTGCGAAAAGGTCGTGGTGAAACAAGGATATGTAAAATATACGACTCTCCATGTCTACCTGAAGCAGAAGCAATGTTTGCTATCAATCCTGACGGCGTTGGAGATGCTAAAGACTGATAAAATTAATTCTGCGTGAGTACAGTATAAACAATCAAATATACAATTGGATTCAATATGAAATGAAGATTTACCTCACGAATTGGTAGGGAGAGCTAGATCTATACTGTTAATATTATCCCATCGCTGGATTCTTTCCGATAACATGCAGATAACCAAATGCATAACGAAACACGTTGTTGTAATATTTCTGTCTGGTCAAAATTGCAACCTGTACTATTGTTTTGTCGTCATATTGACTTTTTCCGTCCTCGTGTACCGTAGGTTCTAGGAGGTCCTGATGGAGAAAATAAAATCACCAAGCCTAAAAGTTCTTCCACTCATCGCAAAAACCAGCTTGCTTGCTCGTTGCGAGTGCATATATCTAATTAGAATAAACTCTCGAGCATTGTGATTGTTTGAAACTACTTGAAGCGAGCTTGCAAGTTGAGTCTTGCGATAAATCCAAATAAAGAGCCTTAATTTAAGGACATGTACAGAAGCTTGCCTGGTCTCATCTACAATGTGATTGTTTATGGAAAACGCCAAAGTTCGAATAAAATGTTTCTCAATATTGTATGCGCACAAAACTCAACGGTAGCATGTATTTGAGGTCAAGGCTTTCCATAACTGATGTATCCACTGTATTTATGCAGTACTGTAAATATCTGGTGAAATTTACTGTGTTGTACCAAATTTCTTTACTTTGCCCGATACCAGTATCCGAATCCGGTACATTCCTATATAGTGCCAGGATTCGTGCAGGTCCTTGAACTCCTTGAAAAGTGCTTAGATTTACAAATCAAGTTCTAGGGCACTTGAAAAGCGCTTGAAAGTACAAGGCGTTGAAGTACTATTTAGAGTGTTTTATCCATAGATATCTTATATATACACTAGATAGTGCATATAATTATTCTGCAATTCAACAATTGAAGCCGTGATTGCAGACTCAGGATGTCCCCATGAAATGAGAAGACTCGTATGTTTTCTATTTCTTAAACAGGGAACTTAAACATTAAGTTAAACCTTTTTCAAATACATTTTCAAACTATTCAAATGATGAAAGTTATTGTTGTTTTTTAAGCGTTTATTAGCGAGTGGGAAACTCCAATATGGCCGCCATCTATTCAAATGGGGGTAACCGCTGGAATATTCTTGGCTTCAATTTTACTAAAAGAGTTGCGCTATCTAGTGTATATAAGATATCTATGGTTTTATCAGATACAGTATATCTGATAAAACATAGACCGCGAACAGTCCCTCAGGAGAAAGGAGGGACCGTCGACAACACAACAACAAACGAAATTCGCTCTTGTTAAGTTGACTCCACCTTTGCATAAAAATTACTTATATCCAATTAAATCTATCCAATATGAACTGTTAATGTCATGATTATTTATAAAATCAACATTCAGTCGTGAAATTATTTATAGCATAATTACTACGTATCAGATTTGATGCTTGTGACGTTACTCTGAGTGTATATCCACACTGGGCAAGCTTGAAAATTATGCTTGACCACGGTGGGAATCGAACCTACGACCTAGACCAATGCTCTTCCAACTGAGCTACGCGGTCAAGATTATCAGATTTGTTTGACGGGAGTATCTACAGTATTTCGACCAATGGGAATTTTGCGTTGTGTGGACAACGCGTATTTCGTTTCTTCTTGATGTGTTGTCGGCAGTCCCTCCTTTCCTTTCGCATGCCCGGAAATCTAAACCCACGGAAAGGAGGGACCGCTTGCAGTCTAGATAAAACACGACAACGAGTGTTTTGAATAGCTTAAAATACGACTACAAAAGATGCCGTCTCATTAGTATTCTTTATATAAGAATACTAATATTATATTGCTGATTATGCTGAAAAATAAAAATGGTGGCCGTATAAACACGGAGTGATCGTTTATACTTGTAAATAATGAAATATTTCGGTTGTTTCGGTAGTTTTTATTGAAATTTTTCAGCATAATCAGCAACATGATACCACAGAATAAGGTACACAGAAGGCCTACTTCTTGGTTTTTCCTATGAATTTCCTATGATTTGGCGTAACCCGTAATTCGTCATCAAATGCTGACGCATGGCCTAGTCAGTGCGCGTTTGAGAAGCATTCACCCGCCTGATATTATTCAAAATGGCGAACGTCCAGGGGGAATGCCTCTCAAACGCGCACTGGCTAGGACCATGGCGTCAGCATTTTGATGATGAATCATGGCGTGGCAGCGGTTACTCGAGTCGACCTTCTGTGTGCCTTATTCTATGATGATACCTTACTTCCCGTCACCCCCTGCACGCATAAATTGAAAGCTGGAATTGTCTATTATATAATCCACATGTGTTTTATCAGATATAAAGTCACTGCACGTGACATATTATGGGTGACATGATTAGCCACAAAGTTTATGAATTATTGGCCCATGTAAGGTAATCCACATACAATGCAGAATTCAATCCGACGAATCCGGAATCCAAGGAGTACATGGATTACCTTACATGGGCTAATAATTAGTATTCTAAAAGTGCTTGAATATCATATAGATGTGAATTAAAAAGTAAAATGTGTTTAAGGCCAAAGAAATATGTGAGTTTCCTATTTCTTCTTGTAAAAACTTAGGTAGGGTAGGTCGGTTTTAATTTTTTTTAAACTTTTTTTAATTTTCCCTAAAAACCGGACGTTATTTTGTTTAGGCAGTGCTTTCACATTCAAAGATAAATTTCCCTATATTGCCTTAAGTTTCCATTTTCCACAAACGTTTTCCTCTAAGTGGAAACACTTACAAGCATGATCCAAAAAAAGTTTGGGGTCGGGATTTCGGCGTCCAAAAGCTAGGTAGAACCGGGAAACCGGAAGCCCACATATTTTTTTGGCCTAATCTAGCCTGTGTACAGCCGTTACTCTCAACGCAGCGCGCGAGAGAACGTCTGTGAGTTGGATACATAATCCTTGTTCAGGTCACGTGGATAGTTCCCAGATGTGGGGACCGCCTCTGATTGGACAATGCTTTATTTAAAATTCCAGATCAAGAATTGTTATAACCAATGAAATAGCTTCGTTTGTCATAAATTATTCAAATAAAGCACTGTCCAATCAGAGGCCGGTCCCCAAATCTGGGAACTATCCACGTGACCTGAACAATTGACGATTATGCATCCAATTCATAGACGTTCTCTCGCGCGCTTAATCGAGAGTAACGGCTGTACACAGGCTAGCCTAATCTGACATTTTCATTATCATGCACATAATTAGTATTACATAATGGTCATCTATACACGATTCGACTGGTTGTATACGATTCTTATCCTGGCGAATGTACTGGAATAAATGCGTGTAAAGATGCCATATTAATGTATCCTTATTCTGGTGTACGCATGTAAAAATATGTAAGCTGCACAAATATAAATGCATGTGTAGTGTTAGTTGGTTTGTATGGCGTCTAACATAAATGTTACCCTGGGTGCCAGAGGCTTTCAGGTTTTTAAAGGTCTTGAGACATTGTTTCAATTTATTCAACATGAAACCCTAGCTAGGAAACTTTCTGAAGGCTCTGGAATCACTGTAGATAAATGTTTGATTTTGTGGAAATACCACGTTTATTTGACAAAGCTATTCATAAAACAGGATTATCACACAGACACCACCGAATCGTATACTGTAGAAATGTCGTTTTTCAATAAGATATACACTTTCATACGGTAGTCAATTTATCCCGGGCGTTCTGTGACCCCCGTCCGCGATCATATCAGATCATGTCAGCAGCATCTGGTAATTACTAAAATAACATCGCCCGAAGTTCGAAGTTTTGTATTCAAAATTCCAAAGGAATTTTATCGTTGAAAATCGCTGAATATTTCTCATCTACAACTTTAGAAAGTGGAAATATTTCCAGATGCATGGGCCATCATCATTCGAATATTCACCATAAAAGAACAAATATGACTGGTTTATAGTTTATTTTGTCTAAACTGATATATTCCCATTCAAAATACATCCTCTGACAAAATCCACAAACTAACCCCTCTGAAATTTGAAATCCTGGACGTGGCTAGAAAAACAGCAAATGTCAATACCATCACAATATTTACTAAATGTCAGCGGATCCTTTTATTTATATATGTTACTGTGCAGGGTGTCCCAAAAAAATGTCCCCTGTCATATTTGGTGGTATTACTTCGCTATATTTAATCAAGGGTTCAATTTTTTTGCAGTGGGTTGAAAGACAATTATATTATATTAATCGTAGTATTTATGTCACCAAAAGACTTAACCATTTGGCTTCTAGAGATACTTAAGGTGGCGACACCAATTTTGCAACCCGTCCAAATTACAGAAATTAGGTTAAAAATAAACTTTGTAGAAGGATTTCTAAAGTTTCTACCCACCTTTCTGCTCAAAAACAAAATGTTTTTATCTCTATTATTAAACTTTTGTTTCTTGTAGAATTAAATAAAAAAAGATGAAAAATCCCTGGCAAATTGACAAAGGCAAAGCTAAGGTTGGGAAAACGCCTTAAATTTGCTGTTTTCCGTTCAATTTGTTCCATGAAAGAGGAAATGTTGGAATTACAGCACTAGGGTTTCCCCTTTTCTGGGGTTTGCTTCATTATTTTTACAGAAAATTAATTCGCGATTTTGGCTGCCACTAATGACAAGTTTTAGAAAAGATATGTAGCCATTTACCATTAAAATATTTCATTCCGTTCCGTAATATGTTTAAACCTAATATCCACAATTTGGACAAGTGGAAATATTGGTTTTGCCACCTTAAGTAACTCTAGAAAGCGAACGGTTAAATATTTTGGTGTGAAAAAATGCAAGGATTAACGTAAAGGCCCATTTACACGATACGATTAGTTGTATACGTTTGTCATTCTGACGAATGAAAACGAGTGCTAATGCCACGTTATTGCTCATTCGCTAATGGCGAAATTTGAAATGTGACGTTTGTACGCGTGTTTATTCGATCACATACGCCAGAGTAAGAATCGTATACAACTAATCGTACCATGTAAATGGTCCTTAATATGTTCATTGATAAAAAAATGAAAAAATTTGAATAATTCGATTACAGGTAACGCTGTAGTACCACAAAATATGATAGGGGACCAGCCTAGTCCCAGGCTCTGTCTCTCTATTCGCTGCTTTGATATATTTAAATAAGTCTTAAAAGTTTTATGCCTGGGTGTGCTATGCGGAACGCTTCAGCGAGAGAGCCTACCAGATTTCGGTAAAATGGTCCCTGATTTCAAAAAAGTGGTCCCTGGCCTGGTTACCAAGCATATCGCATTTGTAAATAGAAAATGTTAGGGAAATTTCCATTGTGTTTATTATTAAGTCAATAGTTTTGCTCTGATGCTGTCGGAACAATGAAATAGGCTACATTTCGCTACCATACAGTCAGAATGGAATAACGGGCTAAATATGACTCGTGTTTACTAAAATATAAAGCCATATTAAATGCTATCTGGAAGCTTGAAAATTATGCCGAGTCTCCGACCAAAAATGTTTTGACAACACAGTCATGTCAGGCGAATATTTCCAATCTCTTCCGCTACTTAAACCTGTCAAGTAGTTGTGCACACCAGTATGGTCTAGTGTTGATCACAACTTGCGAGTATATGAATAACATCAACGATTATACGACCATTGCTCAGACTCAGTATCGTAAATTTGTATATAATTTTTTTAATTGAGCACATTTTTAATACAGTTTGAATTTGGTTATGTAGACATCAAATATGATCAGCGAACATTGTCGTATTTACAAACTTATTTGTATAAATAAATTTTCCGCCATATTAAAAATACTGAAATCTGCTAGGCGTTCTTAAGCACCTTTTGCGGTGACGTCACACCTAGATCCCAGTCTCGTACTACATCCACGTTTTTTCTCGCGCTTGCTTCAGAACGACTGGGACTAGGCTGATAGGGGACATTTTTTGGGACACCCTGTATATTCTGTATATTTAGATTTTCTGCATTTGTATTTTAGCGAGTGCCCGCGGCGTGGTTGTCTAGGGCCTGACTCTTCCACAGTCCCTAACACTGCTTCTAACGCTAAGGACCATGGGAATGCCCCGAGGCGTTTTGTTAGGGACTGTGAAATATTGTGTCTGTTTCTTGGCAAATCTGTCCATTTCTCGGCAAATGCATAAATTTTGATAATGAGCGAAGATTTGGACGAGAGCTTGCCTTTGCAAGACTTGGAAAGCATCTGGTCGGGTTCAGAGGAAGATTTGGAGACGTCTATGCATAATCTATCGCTGAATGACGAGGATTATGGTAAGTGTTGACAAATTGATACAAGCCATGTGTGCAGGGCATATAATTTCTGTTGGAAATATCGCAATATTTGCATAAACCGCTTTTTATATTGTCATTTTTCGTCACATCAGATAATGATAAACGGAGAACAAGCACTCCTATACAAGAAATACATCAGATAATGATAAACGGAGAACAAGCACTCCTATACAAGAAGAAGGCAACGTGAAAAGCCCCGCGCAAGGAAAGCACACATTCACGGCTCCATCAACAAAGCAAACTCCATATTTGCCACCGTTGAAGAGAGTTTGTGTTGGTAAGTTTTAAAAATAGTTTCATATATTCAAAATTATATATCTCTTTGAACAAACTTTATCGCGTGCGAGATTTCATTGGATTTATAATTTATTAAATAGCTTATAATAATTCAATTGTTCAGGAAAATCCCTATCAGGGAAACAATTGCACGACAACAGTCAAACACCTAATGATACGGTTCTGGCATATCTGGGCGACGATACTGTCATAAAATCACGCGTATAAACTGGAGCAGTAAAGAGGCTTTCCTTGGAGTCTACATCAAGAGGTGTAGAAAATATAACAAAAATCAGTATCCTTTTTATAAATCTATATTATACAATTAAACCAATTTTATTGTATATACCCCAGTATTACAATAAACTATCAGGCTTTTGAATATCAATAACATTACATATATTATTAGTAACACCTAGCTGGCCACTAGGTTCCTTTCTAATGTCAACAGATACCTGTAGTACTGTAAGAGCCAGTGTTTTAAACTGCTAAATGTTTTAATTTGCTTGCAGCATGAGTACAACTTTGTTTGTTAAACTTTGTCCTGCCAGTTATATGAAGAGAAACAAATTCTCAAATATTTCATATCTAGAATGGTTGGTGTAATTCTATTAAAAATTACAGTCAGAAATAAATTTTCCATTGAATCTGTTTAGAACCATTGATTCAATCCTTTTAGAACCATTGGTTCCAATTTCTGTAACAATAATTGTAGATATACAATCATTTAAAACGTTTTTCCTTCACTGATAAATTAACAGTGTGTTTTTTTATTAACCTACGGGAAAAGTGTATTGCTCATCAATTTTCTGACATTAAACATGATGAGATTGAATCAAATAGTATGAGTATATTCTATTATATATCTGATAAATCTAATGTATATACAGGGACGCCGGAAATGGGGGAGCAGGAGGGGCAGCCGCCCCCGTTGCCCTTTACCAGGAGGGGCAAGGGGGCAAAGGTGCCCTTCAATTTAAAGAATTGCCTTGGCGAAATAGCAAATTGTCAAAAATTTTAGTGCGATTCTTTTAGTGCGATTCTTTTACGAGAACGCAAGAAATGCAGTCATCGGGCTTCAAGAATAACACAATCGCCTGGCGGAGAACCCCCTCACACCCCTATCCAATAAATAGAAAACATGATTAGGCGAAGTTCAACTCCCGATGTTTTGCAAACATCTCTCAGTATATATCAATTCAAAAGTGCCCTTTAACAAAAATCTGCCCCCTTGCCTTCACATTGTTCCGGCGTCCCTGTGTATATAATTATAATAAATTCTCCCAAGCCCCCCCCCCCCCAGCCACGAATAGGCCTCTGACTGCATACAGTATGTGAAATGCACTCTGATGCACCCTAATTCAGAATTTTACTTGTGTCTAATTAATGCCAGACAAGCATACTGAAGCATTCTTTCTCACGTCATTGATTTTTGTAATGGGTCACTCCAGAAAACATCCATACCACTCCCAGAGGAAATAGGAAGCTAACCCCCCTACCCCCTTCATATGATCCGTTCCCTGATCAACTCAAGGCAGCACATTTTATTTTAAGGAGAAGGTTCTTTTAATATGTTCCAGGTAGGAAAACAGTAGAAAAGTTTGGTGATCCCAAAAGGGCATCAATTTCCACTAACAATGTTGATTCTTATGCAAGTTGGAAAAGGAAAGTTCTGGCCACTTTCAACCGAAAATAGTGTATGGAATAATGAATGAATTAGATGTTGAAAATAGTTTATGGAATAATGAATGAATTAGATGTTAATGAGTCTGATGATGAAAATATTGGAAGTGAATCAGATTAAAAGACAAAACCTCTACTGTACACACATCCCACTCGTATTTCAATGTAGCAATATTTTTTTACAGTTGTGAAGGGTTGTTTTGTGGTAAATCATGGATAATAAAATAAATTTATTTTATTATCCGTGGTTAAATAGAGCATTGCATGTAATTTAACTTGAATTAATCTGCTATGACTATGTATGGACTCTCCATAATGTTTTTTTTTGTTACTCTGAGTGGATATCTTCACCGGACAGGCTGAAAAGTTTGCATGGTCATGCGGTGGGACAACTACCTTGTCCAATGTTCTGCCAACTGAGCTACGAGGCCAAGTCCGTTCAAGTGTTTGGTATTTCAGAACTAAGTCTATATAGCTAGTACCTTCAATACCAATGTGTTTTCAGAGCAGATCAAGAAACATTAAATTATTTTCACCTGAGTAGCCTACATATGTAGCATCAAAACACACACACACAAAAAATATCAAGTCCATAATTATGCTTACATAAAACATCTATAAAATAATTCTGAAATAATGGATATAATTTGACTCGAGTGATAACAGTGTTACTGTTACTGTTTTATCTTAAATATTGAATAGTATAAATCCTCACTGACACTGTATGTACTTTCGAACCGTTGAAAGAACAAATAATTGAAATATCCAACAGCAAAAGCAGACATCATGGATTTGTTAATAGAATGGATATTTTTGTCACTCAATTGAATTTATTAATTTGGTGATACTAAAAATAGATAGATAGATAGACATATTAAGATTAATTTCATTTATCCCTGTCATGTGAAGCTGATGTCCACAGTGGCTGTGCAAAAATAGCAATACAATATTTGAAATTATTTTTAAAATATGTTATATGGTACATTGTTTCAGCAGTGTACACTCTACAGTGTCCAAATAGCAACATAACAATGTTGAAAGTACTTACAAAATATGTGATATATACAGTAGTGTAGGCTTTAATATTCCTTAGATAAAGTACAATATCCAAAGAAATAAAATTGAAATAGACCAGTTGAACTGTATGTTTGAAATTCACCATAATAAAAATGATGGCAGGTGTCAATTTTACCATAATGCTTTGTGACCCTGAATTGGTTATATGAACTGTAAGAACAGTTTATTTTATTAATGCACCAGTCAAAGTAGACCCCCCCCCCCACCCCGGGCAAAGACGGGACTTGGTGGGGGGGATTTAGTGGCTTTTTGTCATCGAATTCTGTCCCAACCATGTCGGTTTGGTTTTGTCATTCTGCCGAATTATGCCGGGAAGATAATGGGGATTGTTAGGGGATTGTCTGCGGCCATTTTGTACTATTTTGTACCGTTTTGTCCAATGGAATCCCCAGGTTCTACCATTTTATACCATGTGATTTGCAAAGGACAAAATGGCGTGCTCGTAAGGAAATGAAATCGGGAAGAATTTTATAAATATATTAATTTAATTTCTTTTCATTCTATATGTTAATACCGGTTTAATAATATGTCCATCCATCCATGGAATCTATTGTTGTGGAAAGCTCGACATTTGTTTGTTTATATTATTATTATGTTTTTATCGTTCTTTTGAGTTTCAAATGGAACAAAATATTAATATTTTAAAATGTGGACGGTTTATGCGGCGCGCAGCCCGGAGATTGTCGGGGAGATATTATGCAGGAGATAAATTCACGCACACGACTTACAATTATCCCCCAGGGGGTGGGGCATTTTTTGTTTTTTGCTAGAAAATTTTGTCCCATATTGTGGGGCATTTGTCTGTTTTGGTACGGTATTCAAAGCCAATCCCCACCTATATCCCGGGGTGGGGGGGGGGGTCGGGGTTTACTTTGACTGGTGCATAACATTGATAAAAGCTGTGATTATATCTTACAAATTTTATGGCCTTGATGCTGTATTTTCAAATATTTTCTTAAGATAAGTTTTCTTCTTGCAAAGAATTATGGTAAAGTCAACATGCCCCCAACATTACGGTCGATTTACACTTTCTTCTGTAGAGGCTTTGTGTTTTAATTTGGGTTTTTTCGAAGTTTGCAGGCAGAATAGTTGAGAGGCAGAGCGTGGGACTTGAAAAAATCCAAAACAAAACACAAAGCCTCTACAGAGGAGAGTGGTCAATTCAAAAAGAGATATATTTAATAAATCTTAAAGTTTCTTCGCCAAACATACGTTTCATGGCCAAAGCTGAATTCTTCGTATCTTGCGGCACCAGCTGTCGGTTGTGAACAGTGCGGAAATGATGCGCAAGTCCACTTTCTTTAAAAAACGAAAGTTTTCCAGGCATTCAGCCATCAGACAAACAACTTTATTCGTCAGATACGCCTCGTGAAACGGCCTTGAAAATATTTCGTCCCTTTCTCGCTCTTCGATAAACAGCGTCCGCCATTATAACGTCCGCCATCTTGAATTAGGATTTCCCAGTCGCTTCCCTCGCCGTCACATTCCCATCAATCAGCGCGCGTTGGGTCATTCAACGCGCGTTAGGTAAGCGACTGGGGACGAGTCAGCTATATTATACCGATGGCCAGAGGAGGAGTGAGGACTATACCGGCATGCAACGCGGTCAGGCGCGATTTTTTACATATTATCGATTTCTCGCTCTGCGCCGTCATTGTTCGGTCGGCTTTCGCTGTGTTTACACCTCGAGGTTTCAAAAGATTTGGAAAAGATTTATCGAAAAAAAATTGTAAAATGGTGGATTTTTGCACTATGCATGGAAAGAAAGCTTCGTTTTTGGGTGGACACGAGCCTCTGTGTGTTCACTGTGTGTCAAAACAGCCTTTAATCTTGATTCAGGAAGAATTACCGTGTGATGAACTTGAATGTCGTGAGGACGTGAGGTTCATGTTTATAGTTTTTAATACAGATAGTTCGAAGAATAGTCCTTTGTCCAGCTGTGGTTAACGGGATAAAAATTGATGAAATGTTCGGTGATTGCGGTAGTCCTCCACTGGTACAAATTCAGTCTAGTTGTGTTTTTAAGGTGAGATGATTTTTATATAAAAATAGAAATATAAAAATGCTCCTATGTTGTTGTTAATAAATACAGCAGTATTAAACGTATTTTTATTTCATATCATGTAGTTCTTCGACCCTAATTATCTACGAGGTGGTATAAACAAAGAATATAGCAATGTTATGTTGTGGGAGTTTGACATTTCAACATCACCAACATCCCAAGCAATCCCACCATGTGACCCAGATAGTCAAGATGATGAGCTGGATAGTGTATTTCCACCAATAGAATTATCAGCCAACTGATTGTATAACTGTTTTAATTTACCAATAAACCCTGTTTGCCCTGACAAACATTCATACACACCGAATGATGGAAGAAGCGCCCAGTGGTAGCATTGTTGTAAAGAATGAAATGGAGGAAATTCAACACTATCGCAACACTATATATAAATGTATTGACTACTGTGTGATGCATTGCAAGGATTTATACTGATCAACCAGTTATCTATGCTCAAATGATCAACCATTGTGTATTATTTTACTCTGCCCAATGCCAGATTATTTTACTGTCTAATACTAGACTATTTACTCATCAGGGGGAGAGTGCTGACACTCAATGGGTTAAAAAACATTGAAAGAAAATGTTTAGCTGAAGCTGAAAAATTGTTTATTGGTGTCTGGTGTAATACTGATATTTCTTTTATTTGTAAGGATAGAGCCGGGGAGCTTCTAAGGCCCTGTTTACATGAGACCCGGGACAAAGTCAAACCGGAATGAAAATTGAAATTGTCAACATGTTTACATGAGACCGGTACGAGGATCACAAAATCTTCAATTTATTCCCCTTGCCAGGCAATTTTCTTTTTCAGGTGGCTTTTGCTAGCATGTGTTGTTCCAATGTCAAGATTACAGCCGAGACCGGTCTGAAATGTATTTGTGTTTACATTATCCCGGTCTGAATTCATGCCGGTCTGAAGTCAGTCGGTTCAGTCCAGAAGGCGGAATGTCTTGAGACCGGTCTGAGTTATTTTCGTCCCGGTCTCATGTAAACATCTATTATAGATAATACTATGACCGAAACGAGATGGTCCCGGTTTGACTTCGTTCCGGTTTCATGTAAACGGGGCCTAATGGTACAGTCTTGGCCCTACCCCAGTTTTTCTGTACTGCATGTGTTTTTGTCACTTCCCTGATTATACCATAAGTCTGTATTGTATCCCATGGACACCATCTTATCAGTTCTGCAGTTTTTTGACAATCTATCGTAAACCTCCACCTAAAAGCACTGGGCTTATATTCTTTTGTAAGTGATTTTTGATGGGCTTACACAAGGGGGGGGGGGTTATACGGGGAGGGGCTTATATTCCGAGGTTTATGGTATGTATGGTTTTCATAATTTTCAGTGTATAGTCTTCCCTTGCTCATCACAAATTAATAAAAAGATCACACACTACATAATTGATGTTGATAAAATTTATTTATTTTAAAATCAAAAAAATATTAACATAATATTGCTGTACTTAATGATAATTAAAATGTTTTTAAAAATAAAATTTTATGCACACAATTTTAAAATATTGCACACATTCATTTCACCAGTACACATGGATGCTATATGATAAAGTATATGAAAGGTGATGCTTTTGCTCTAGCTTAATGCTGTATTAAAACAATCTAGAGGTATTACATAATTGGTAAACCTCTTCAATCGTAATGATTTTCTGCAACAGATATGAATTCGATGAATGCTTTATCTTCCTTAAATGTCCATTTATGAAGTTTAACTGGGAATTTCTTTGGAGGAGTCGTTTAATCTTTCTGATAAGAAACTACAAAACAAACAGCAAAAGTGAGAGGGGCAATGTTAGTGCCAGCACAATTAGACAACAACAAAGAAACTCATGGATTTTTACCAGGATTGTGTGCATGCTTCTCCAGTTTGTGTACTATAGGTTTTCTGGAATGCCCAGCATTGAAAAATAATGTTGGCGTACAGGTGGATAGAAATTGCCCAACATTGTCATGAGTTTGTGAACAAGAGGTATAAAATAGAAGGAATACATCTCCTATACAGACTAGCAAAAATACTGTTTAAAGTCAATCTTAAAACAATTGCCCAATTTTTAAAGCAGAATTCTGCCTAACTAAACACTGACTGGAGGGGTTGCAACCCCCCCAGCCTCATATGCCTATGGACAGAAATTCTCCCAGGCAAAAAAGCATTAAAATACAATGTTACTGTCACTATGATAATAACTCAAGCCCCTATTATTAACATATTGTTTCATTAAAAATATACAATGTTTTTGTGTAATCATACTGTATTTTTAATATGTTTGTAAAAAGATTTGTACTTTTAAATACACCTTGGCTTTGGACTCTGAAACAAAGTTCGGCTTGATGTTGAATTTTTCAAACGAGAAATTCTGTGTCTTTTATTATTAGGTTTCCCTGGGGGAAATATGTACGAACATATATGCGCATGTTTCAAAATTATCATGGAAAATAGTGTTTATAGTACAATAATTTACTTCGCGCCATGATGATTATCAGACGGTCTATTCCCGCCATCGGCGATAGAATATAGCAAAAGTACCTCATTTTCAAACCGCGATTACTCGTCGGTTTAGTGGAGCAAATTCATGTTTTAAAGTAACAGTAGAAAGAATAAATCTTCCCGAATTCGATGACGTGTTTTGTTTTTATTTTCCTAAAAAAAAAGTGAATTTGCTTCTGCATTATATCAAGGTCATTTTATTGGCGTGTCCACTGACCCGGGACAAGCATAATTACAATACGTAATTAGCATAACTAAAAAGCAATTCCTGTACCAAATAAGTCAAAAATAGTTTAATTAGGTTCTTAAATAATACAAATATAAAAACATACCTTCGAAAAAACGAGATATACGAAGCCAAAATCGCAATGTATTTCAACAATTTTTCGCCAAACGTTCGTTGAAAATCGTAATTGTGAATAATAATGAGACACAATGCATTGTGGGAAGACCCTCATTCCTCCTCTGCCTATTTGTATTGTTAGACAGACTAACGCTTAGCTGTTGACTGGAAATATATTGCGTGACCGCCGCACTAAATGACTAATCCGATTTTGTTATTGTCGAATATTAGCGCATGCGCATTGACGGTGTACCACGGTACAGCGTGAACATATAACAATATATATATATATATATATATATATATATATATATATATATATATATATATATATATATATATATATATATATATATATATATATATAACCTTTTGTAGGGTTAAAATGGTACACCGTGGAGTATTTTAAAATTATCGCGCTAAATATTGTCTGAAGTAGCTTGGAATACTAAGCAACACACGTTCTTTCAAGTCCATTTCAGTGGTTTGTATTATATCCCATAACTGAGGATATTATCACAGTCTTAGTGTATTGCTCAGTGGTACACCGTTAGGTATGACATTGGGAAAATATGAGCATTGATTTACCACACCAGGAAAACTTGTGTCAAAATGCATAATTCACAATTATATAGTTGTCGCTTAATATTCTAAATATACATGCAGTAAATACCAGAAACGCGGTAACTATATTGAATTTATTGTCCCTTAGTTCTACTGGATACCACACGCATTCGTCTATGTATAGACTGAATGTATAACCTATCAATATATAAGTTGCACGAACTCTTATGTAAATATATTTTTTGTATCGTACATTGCATCTCTTTCACTGATCGTTTGCATGTCCGTCTAGGCACCTTCTCACATGGTCGACTATAGGTTGTCTATTGTGTCTTGCAGGTCTCATATAGATACAGATAACAAATATGACTTATATATATATATTTCTTAATTTCTGAAATATTGCAACGATATTGACTAGAACGCGATAGTTTTACTTTCTCAATTATTTCCGCAACATTTAGTTCCTTTTAATTGCTAAAATTAAAATAAATAATATGCTGTATCGTATGCGATTTTTTCGGCAATAAGTTTCTACCACACATTATTACCCCTCCAAAACACTAAGGTATTCATGACGTATTTAATTAATGAAATAAGGTACTTGATGTAATTATGAATATAAGTTAGATCATGAGCAATGCGCATAAACAAAATACATGGCAAGGACATGTATAACAAGCGAAATATAAAAGAATGTAATTTCGACTCATTTCAGACAATCCTGGACAAAACATCTGCGACACTTCCAATTATACTTGACAAAATATCGCAATGTTATCGTAAATTTAGAAAACCTCCCCCCCTTTTTCCCCACCATTCAATGTTGATTGGATTCGTAGAATACGGATAAAACGTCCAACATTGTTTTGGGGGGCGGAGGGGGGCAAACGAGTAAACTATTCCGGTCTAACTGGTAAAAAAGCCACAAAGGAATGGTTTAATAGAGTGTCGCAGATGGTTTTGTCCAGGATTGTAGGGGAACAAGATCATGAATCCACTATATGGCGCATTGGGATTATCGTGTAACGCTATCCGAATTTTGGGTTTCCATGAGGTTGGAAAGATATTGCACAATAACCAGGGTAGTGTAGAGAAATTTTCCAGAGAGTTTGGATTCCTTCATGAAGTTGGTAAATGTTCAGTATTGCGTGAGATAACTCTGAACCGTAGAACCAGCTCGAGAGTGCAGGACTTGACAAATTATTTGTTGCCTTATAGCCATAACGGCCACTACCCAACAAGGAGCACAAACTAGATCCTGAAAAACACAAATCTACAGTTATATAAAAATCTCCAAACATGTTGTAAAACATGTTGTAAAACGTGATGGGCTCTACAGCCACCCGGCAAGTGCAGTCCTCTACTACACAACGAAACAGGCATCTGCCTACTCTTTAGCCACCCTGCAGAGAGTAATTAGTTATATAAAAAGGCGTTCTCCTTTTCCCAAGCCATCCAGCTAGGACTATTTGTAATAGGCATTCTCATTTTCCTAAGGAGCATTCTCCTATTCGCAATATATAACATGGCATTCTCCTTTTCCCAAGCCATCCGGCTAGGACTTCACGCCACAACCGCCAAATGTAACAGTTTGACACAAGTATATTTATGTATTAAGTTAAGTACACACTAACAACAACAGACACTCCTACATTATCATGCATTAACAGGAATTCATGCACCAAAATAAAAATTAAGTTGAAATAACCGACACACTTAAGAACAGACTACGAGACCCTGTCCATGCACGAGCTGGAACCGAGAAGGAACTTATGATTATGGCCATGCATTAAAACTTAGTTACCGACTAATACAATGTAATCTTTTATGTAAACTAAAAAAATGGGAAATAAGAAAAGGGCAGAAGGCCATTAAAGCACGACAAAAATGGCTTTACGACTGTGAAATAAACGCTAACACCCGATATACCCGAGGGACCGGGGGTACTAAAAGAGCATTTGCCCCCACGAAGGAAAGAGTGCATCAATCCCGGCAGAACCTGGGTTCCAAAATCTTAAATAGAATTTTTGCACTCTGCAGTTGTAACAGTCAAGAAAGAAATAGAACCTTGTCAAATTTAACAATGCGTTCACTAATAATACTAATGGTGCCGGTTTGCCCATTCCAGTTTAATCCGAACCAAGTAAGGTATTGTGTGGACTGCCATACGCATTTCTCGACATTAACTAACAACCAAGCGCTAGATAGATCTGAAAGTATTAAGCCTGAATTGCTTGTACAAGTTTGTATGTCTCTGTCGATGTCAAACCCATCGTCTAAATAAATCCCATTATTTATCTCCTGAGTCTCCTGAGAGCGCCAATGTTTAACTATAGGCCGTAACAGTTTTGTGAATATATAGGGAGCTGTTGTCAGCCAAAATGGCAGAACAGGGAACATAAAATAACTTGGCGTCGCGTCATTCCTCTTCCAGGTAAAGCCCAAATAAGGCTGATGTTCAGAATATATCCACTGAGTAATGATACCCAGATTTCAGGTCAAATTTTGTGAAAAACGACCCACTGTCGAAACGAAAAGCTGCACGCGAATCGTCAAAATTTTTTGTTTGTTTTGTAGACATGATTGCTCAAATCTCAAGTCTTAGAAAACAGAGATATTATCTATTATTTATTAAATATTATTGTCTTAAAAATATTTTTATAAATAATGTATGTAAAATAAATCGTTCTTTCTGTTTGTTCACTCAACAAGATATTTTAGATATATTATAGCTATGCAAGACAAGACAATTATGAACTTAATTGCCAAATACTGTTATGACATTTTAGCAGTTTTTGAAAGTTTAAATTATGTTATTAGTAAATTTGTTATATTTTGGTATGTAATGTAGTGGTAGATTTTTTATGTATGCATCTTAGTATATCAAACTGGTATGCTGTTGTTGATTAAATATATAAAATGTCAAATCGAAGATCAGCGCCGTTTGCCACCGGGCTGAGTAGCTACGGAAAGTGGGCTACAAGGTATTTAGTCATGTTCTTCCACCTGAATAATTTTTAGTGATTAGTTATTGAGTGATAGAATCAAACACAAACTGGCAATTATCAAAAGCAGACGAGTTATTTGCAAAGGTATCTTGTATCCTTCCTGGATAGTTTCAGAGATGAAATCTGATGCTTCTATATACTTCCAAAATTGGATATGAGCTCTAAGCCTCCCTTTTACTTTTAGAAACGAAACCGGGGTATTGCTAGATAGCTGCTTATATTCACAGGTATTAGAGAAAAGTTATACCTGAGTGATGTCTTCATAAACATCTTGCAATGGATTATCGGCTAACGTTTATTTTCTCCCATGAGCTGCTCGGGGAAAATATCCTGGTTCAAACTGACTGGGTCGTGTCGACGCAAAATTTTTGGGCAGCTTGAGCTCCAGTGGCTTCTTGTACCACACCGAAAGCACATGTCTGACATGTCTGTTAGACTATGGATTCGACGGCCTATTAAAAAAAACTAAGTGGCACGAAACAAGAAACGAAAACTAGAATTTATAATAGACTTGAAAATATATATTGATAGATGAAAAATGAACGTGTTTTGCCAGTGTCCGAAAGCACATGTCGGTTGGACTAGGGACTCGACGGTTTATTAAGGAAAAACAATTTAAAGTGGAACGAAACAAGAAACGAAAACTGCAATTTAGAATAGACTTGATAATATAGATTTATAAATGTAAAACCAACGTGTTTTGCCAGTGTAGTGCTTCACGTGATGTCCTACTGAGCAGACTGCTCATATTTATAGTACTATGTCGCGATTTGCATCAACGATTACATGCTACGTTCACATCCGACGGAAAATTCCATTAAAAAGTGCTTATTTTATTGCAACTCTTTTAAATTAATGTATTCACGTCTATATGCCAAATGTATTCAAGTCAATGCCAAATTAATAGTTTATTAACGTTTATGCCAAATTTGCAGACATAAAAAACAAATATATATTTAAGAAAATTTTACTAATTTCAGAATCATAATAGAATTGGTTTAGGAAATATTTACTTATAATATCTGCGCGGTCGCTTTCCGACTACCCCTACCACCCCCTCCCAAACTGGATTGAGTAAAGAATTTTTGCCGCATTGAATTTAGAAAATATTCCAGCGGTTACCCCCATTTCGATAAATGGCGGCCATGTTGCAGTTTCCCACTCGCTAATAAACGCTTAAAAAATAACAATAACTTTCATCATCTTAATAGTTTGAAGATGTATTCGGAATAGGTTTAACTTAATGTTTTAGTTCCCTGTTTAATAGAAATAGGAAACATACGAGTCTTTTCGTTTCATGGGAATATCCTGAGTCTGCAATCACGGCTTCAATTTTTGAATTACAGAATAATTAGATGCACAGTGGCGAAAATTCACTTTTTCCGGGGGGAGAGGAGGCAAAGCCTCCTAAGTTTCCGACAAAACTTTCAAATTTCCGACGTACCCCCCCCCCCATTTGCACTCGAAAAGACTGTTTTTAGCCCTCTTTTAGGTCAAAATTTCCGAAAGTTCGTCAATTTTCCGTGAAGGTGGGGGAGCGGGGGGGTTATTCCCTAAGGACCAACAAAACAACAGCCTTTTTGTTTTAATCTGCACATTTATTTTTAAATTGAATGTATTAAAAATTAATGCGATGTGCATTGTTTGTTATATATGTATGTGGTTTTCTAGGACTCTAAGTATAATTATTTACTTAATTGTGGGAACCATTCATCAGTTTTGGCCTGGATTGGTTGAACACGTTTTTGCTAAATCCAATATTATAGTAACATTTATTTTTACTATTATGCATCATTGTTTTATATTGGTAAACTGCAACTTAGTTAGTGTAAATCGTGATGCTAATAGTAAGTAGCGTTGAAAAAATTGCGCTTGAAGGCTTCGGTTTGTTTTTTTTTATATCGGAAAGAGGCATATTATTCTTTATGCAATATCATGCAATTGTCTGTTTTGAGGTTAAACATTTGTTCTCTGAATTTCTGTTTTAAGTATCATCCGCAGGCGGTACAAATAATGAAAGATCCCCATAAGTTATTCTAAATGATACATGTTGCTAAATTATGATTATTATATCACTTACTCGTATTTCTTACAAAGACAACGTTAAAAAAAGCATGCAACGGTGTTTGTCAAAAAGATAACATGCATGTAATAAATTGCAACGTTATTTACTACGACAGCACGCGTAACAAACCCAGCACCAAAAAATGAAGTTAAGCAGTCCACCGATACCTGCACCAACACCAACCTTGACACCGAATGCTATATGAGAATAATGGAAGTAAAATCAGTAAACTGCCGGTAATACATGCTTCACAACAAAAGGAATTGGGAATGCTAAATGTAATAAAATAGTCGTTAATATTTCATGAAGGAAATTCGAAAGAAATTAAGATCCTCACGATTTTGTTGCAGTATTGTTTCAAAAATCAAAACCAAAAAGATCAAGAAATAAAACACACGAAGTTCTCACTCCCTGTCAAAGGCATTTTCAAAACAAAGAATCGCCTTATATACGGTCGGAAGCCTTTGGAATGCACTCGTAAGGATCACACACACGAAAAATTAAAACAGGACTGGACAAAACTGGATAGGATAGATTTGAGCTATATGGTAGTTGCAAGCCACCTAAAGGCGAAAGAATTGATAAAAGTGCCTGCAAGTTGTTGATTCTTTTGCGCTTTAAGTTAACGATATTGAAAAATATCCGCAATCTTGAAAACCGCAACGACCTTATATAGGCTACTAGAAGTACGTGCATGCAACAACCCCAGAGGAGGTTGGACAGCTAATTAGGCAAATCTGGGGAATCTCTCGACCAATCAGATTTCGCCATTTTCCTCATGCTCGCATGAAGCTTTTGGCATTGAAAATTTACATAGGGCTCATAAATATCGACTTTTTTCATATTGTTATGCACATTTTTTTGGAAATTTCACGCGATACTACTTTTACAACAGTGAATCTACCCATTGGAACGGTATCTTGAAAGTAAGCGTTATTTTCCAGTTTATTTTGACCTCTCGCTTTAGGCGCTATGCCGTCGCGATATAATTTAATGGCGTTTCTGTCAACAATCTTTGAAGACAAAAATCTCAAATTTCCACGGTTCGATTTCGCTATTTTTTTCACGATTAGTTAAACAAAAGTATAATCTTTAATTCTATCCGGCCGGCTTCCCTCGGTCCCGCAACCGTTTTCGAGATATTCACCGTTGAATATAGCCCTCTGTAAAATATGTTGCCTTGTCACTCAGATCGATAATGAACTGCTATTGCTCGCTTTTTTCTGAAGAAGTGTGATATATTATAGAAGTTTCGATATATTATGGATTGTATATATTGCAGTTAAAGTGTGTAAATAATTAAAGCCCTTCCGTAACAATATTTTATAAGTGAAATTTATTGTTTGGCTGATGTTTTAGATTTGAGATTCGTGATTTTGGCTGGATTCTATTTTTGTCGGTGGCCGGACATTTTGCCGAAAGACATTTTACCGAACGGACATTTTGCCGACGGACGTTTTGCCGAACGGATATTTTGCCGAACGGACATTTTGCCGAATGGACATTTTGCCGAACGGACAGTTTGACGAACGGACATTTTGCCGAAAATAGAAATATCTTCTGAAGTTTAAAGGTTCGCTTACACAGTCAAAGTTTCTGTGATTACATGCAGTCATTATAATTGCCGATTTTGATGACAGAAACTTTGATAGTGAGGTATAGTTTCGTTTTATATTCTTTCACGTTTTTGACAAGTTTACCGAAAATTCGCGATATAAAGAATAACATCATTCAACATCATTAATGAATGTGATTTCCCCGAGAACTGTGAATGTATTCCATGATTCTCGAAGTGAAATTCGCTTACGCCATCTTTATATACGCTTGTTTGTTTACGTCAAAACACGTTCCTAACAAATGAGTCATCCGCTGCACAAACAAGCTACCAATAGTCAATATGGTTATGCACTGCTAACAACCGTTATGCTCTGCTAATGACCATTATGCATGCACTGCATTAGACCATTATGCACTGCTAATGACCATATAATGGTTATTTTACACAATGGTTGAGAATTACACAGTTGAGAAATGAGTCACAGTTCCAAACATTTTGACGAAATAACATCTTTATTTTTGGCAAGTTGTTCTTTCGGCAAACTGTCCGTTCGGCAAAATGTCCGTTCGGCCAAATATCCGTTCGGCAAAACGTCCGTTTGGCAAAATGACCGTCGGCAAAATGTCCGTTCGGCAAAATGACTTTCGGCAAAGTGTCTTTCGGCAAAATGTCCGGGTACCATTTTTGTCAATGATTTTGTCTGCAAGAATTAAGCATCATCATTAAATTTGGAGGTAAAATCGGTCCTTCCAACCTGTACAGACTTTCTACATCTGCAAGATCTCTGATGCTATGATTGTCTCTCCATCGAGTGACCAAAACCTTGTTCACTTTTTAATTAATATGTCACGTTATTGGTATGATGACTTCTGGATTTTCAAAACTAACCCAGCGACTATCTGAACAACTACTCATCCACCTGTTTCAAAAATAACTGGTAAAAGTTAACCCTGGTTTAGATGCTAAATTTGTCCCTCAAAATTTTCTCCCACTTGTTGCCAAGGCTATGTCTGTACTTGATGCTGGTAAAAAAGACAATCTCATTTATCACACTGCTAGATGCTTTGGAGAACAGCTGCAACGCCATGGAGATGTTGGTCTGATGCCATTGGTTAGAATGCCCTTTATAGCAATAAAGGCCCACTTGGCCTTTTTTAAACAGTATTTTAATTGTAATGATGTTACACAACTAACTGAGATAAAGTTTGAGAAATGGTGGTTCTTTCAATGTTAAGCCCCAGAGAGGGGGCGGGCATATGTGGGGCATTTGATTTTTTGAGCACATTTTCAATCAAATGCCCCATTGTTAGGTAATAAATATTGGTCAAACAGCCTACCAATAAATTGCAATGAATACTATATTAATATAAGTGATTTTGGTTCACATTGCCCTAACTCGGGCCGAAATGCTAATCAAAATCCCCAGAGTGGCATGCATTTAATGATCAAAATTAATACCCCACATATGCCAACCCCTCTCTGGGGCTTGACATTGATAGGTGCAATTATAAGCAGGTTTTTTTTGTATTCTCATGTAATGTATCACAAAGTATCAGCAGTATGTTATTGTGGGCCTTTGATCAATATGTATATAAATAGACATATTTTTCATGTACTTTATAGACATATTTTTGTTTTATTGTTGCATTAATTTTAATGAAAAATTACTCACAAAGTTGGTCAAGTGAATATACAAACTACTTATTTCTTCATTTAGTACAGCACATGTTACAATTATGTACTTGTCTTAATTGCATGAGTGTGCATGACAGACATTGTTTCATTTTAATTGTGCACACCCATGCACTTATGATTAACCTAGTATTTGTTTATGAAAATCTAAAAAGTTAGCCAATTGAAATAACATCATTTCTATAACTTGCTAAACCTTGTCAGTTACAATTATATTACAAACATCTGTCAACGTACACTCCTGCTCTTCCTTACCACTTGATTCTCCCACTCACCACGTCGCTTTATGAAAATTTTTTGATAAAATTTTATTTTAAAAAAGTCAACCCTATACTTGATATGCTGAACATAGACCTCTAATATATCTCCTGTGGCCATTAGTGGGTGCAAATACTCGCATAGTTGAGAAGCAATATAACCAATATGCGTCCATCCAGTTCCATAGTCTACATCAATTGCACTTGCACTTGGGTCCATTGGATTCAATGGCTCTGGCCGTATTCGTACATTCACTGGTTTATCTCGTCCATGAAGAGCAAGGTATGCCTATTCCAAATGATGTTGGTAATTTTTCTCATGAGCAGCACCGATGCACTTGAATGGTACAGCATGAGTGATTTCGTCCTTGTCACTTTCATCCTCATCACTTAACTGCTCTATCACCTGACTACTTTCTGCTCTATCACCTTGATTACCATATCCATGCTGACCAGGTTCAAGACCAGCCAACCACTCAAGTAGATCTCTTTCTACAAAATCATAACAAGAAAATTTTTATTTTATTATTTTGTACATAAACTGTATTCCCTAAAATTAGAAATCTAATGCAAAAGTGTGTCACTATTTTATACAGTAATATTTATAGAACAACACACAAATATGGCAATATTTTACAGATAAAAATTGAAAAATATTTAACTATTGTATGCACATATACACTGTATGTGAAAATCTATCCACAACTAGATACAAACAGGCATCATACTTCAGCAAAATTTTGTTAAATAATTTGTTTAACTCAAAGCATGCACGTATGTATCACAGTGACACAGTACATAGACACACACAATAGGGTCAATCTACAGGCCTTAAACACAAATATTACGCCATAATTTTCTACAGTGTATTTATAAAATTACAGTACAAGGTAAAAAACAACAAAGCGGATAATAGTTTGACTAAATAACAAGATAACTGTAATGCATTGTAGTATACCAACCTTAAATATTGTGCTTGTTTTCATTTTGATGATACACGGAGATTTAACGTCATCCAAGTTAGAAAGAAGAGCCTCGCTATTGGGAATAAAAACACAATTCCTTCGCAGGCTTCGCTCAGACGGATTATTTATCAAGCTAAAATGACAGCAAGTCCCATGCAATTTAAAAAAAGGTAAACTTGGTATAGTAAAACACAAGTCATAATGATGATCGCCACAATACAGCAATAAGATGCTGTTTCTTTTCACAAAGTATCGCAGCCTGACACTCTTGTCGTTCGAAAGCTTCCATATTGGTTTAGTCAGAAAGATGTTTACTCCTCGACAGTCAACAGTCAATGAAGCCACGCGCGGAATTAGGCGCTCAATACCATGATGCTTTCCGGCCTGCTGTCCAACCTCCTTTGCAGCAACCCCTCGCCCACATTTTCAATTTTTTTTCAATATGACGTACTTAGTAGGGAGTTTACGATCTACGACGCGGCCGACTCGACGACGCGCTTTCAAAACAAAGAAATTAGGTGTTTCCACAAACAATAGTATTATGTGTTTTATCGCCATGTAAACCTATAAAGAACTTACAAAGAAATTTGTCATGCAAGACAAAAACTGTCAATAATTTGTGGTCCCATGAGTATTGTCAAACGCGTTGTCATTTTCAACAAAACGTTAAAAAAGCATTATTACGTCTTTCAGGCAACGCGAAAGCTTAATGCGACACAAGAGGTATTACTAAAAGTCGAAATTACGGCAAACATTGCATCGCTTTAGCCGAACGTAGCATTTTGTAAGGTTATTTGAAAGATCGTAAACTCCCTTGTAAAGATCGTAAACTCCCTCGCAGATCGTAAACTCCCTTGTAACGACAAGACGGAACGCAGGCTTGCGTTGCTCGCGTCCCGTTGCCTGGCAACACGATAATTGTTTTCTTTTTTTGTTGTTGAAAACTGCAAAAATAAATTAATGTTTTACAGAACTATCGATTTCTTACCCATATAAATTAGGTATGTTATTTTGCTTTGTATATATGGGCTTTATTATAATGCAAAATTCAACGCGAACCACTTTGTAAAACGTTTTTAAATGTTTGTTGAAATTAACTGCTTTTTGCGAAAAACTCTTCAACTTTAATATTACTCGTACTTTGCAATAAAATAATTTAAATCCTACAGGTAGGTCTTGAAAAATTTAAAACAATTTAACTTTCACATAGAATGTAAGGAAAGTTGTACATACAGTTCAAAGCCTTCAAGCAAAAAGTAAAAACAACAAACTAAGAAACTTGCCCTATGCATCAGGATTTCTTACACTTAGAAAGGGTGATTTGCAACTTATTGTGTAAAAAGATCTCCAAGCTTGATGTTATGTGTTTTTTTAATCTTTGCTTCCTTCACTCCTGGCAGACAACTATATTTTTGAGATCAGTGAGATAACCACCAATGCATAGCCATGCGCCCGCGATCATTGATTAATTTTAGATTTCTCTAATGCTTTCCTTTCTCCGGTTGTAAATAGCCAAGCGGAATAAGTACCCTCGCCACGGTCTTCCTCCTACGCGCTGCGCGTATACATGGCTCGGGGATAGCTACTGTAGGATAACGTAACACCAAAACTTACATAAGCCACTGATTGTGCTGTTGTCGCTGCCGCCGTTGTTAGAACCAATACCTGTCAATATCAAAGACAAACAAATATCATTAAAAAGGTAATGAAATGGAATATTATTCTCAAACTCAACAATAGTTAATATTAGTTTAAACCTCGTACCCAGGGTATTTGCTCTTGGGGAGCGAAATACCCTGGTATGGCCTGGTCACGTGACCCGCGGACTTTGCGTAAAATGGCGTATTGTTTACTGGGGTCGGAGGAGTGAGTATATATTGTCACAATTAATTACATCGCTCTATAATATAAACAATATCCATTGAATCTTCAAAGAAATCGTGAAAAGAACTGCAATTAAAAATTAATATTTATCGTGGTGTGACTTTCTACTCTATAATCTAGTGTCGAGTTACAATTCAAGCAATTTGGATCAGATTTCAACTTATAGACTTGTCACTGAGAAAGCACGCGTGGACGTCGTGGCAATATAAAGCAGTCAAGAAAATATATATCTAGACCGAACAATGTGGTTATTCAAGTATATCCAGATACTCGAACCAAAAGAATTTATTTATTGATGAGATGTGGCATGGAATTGCAACGAAATAGCGAGATCTTTTGATTTCCGAAATATCGCCAAGACGCCAACTGTATCCAGATTGTTGACTATAAAGCTTATAAAACTTCCTGCACTGGCCCTTGGCATTGCTGAAACTCAACAATCATGGTATGTGTTAAAGTCTAGCTGTCTGTTGAAAATCTACAGTATTAAATTCATACATCAAAGATAAGTCAAACGACAGTATACTATATTATGTCTTTCAATGCGCACTTTAGTCTTTATAACTATACACTGTAAATCTCGCGGTGTTGCGGCAACACCAAAAACGTGTAACATTACACTAATTAGGTGTAACGCGGAATTAAACACCGTTCGAGTGTAATATTACACTTCCACAGTGTAACTTTACACTATTTTAGTGTCTCGGTAACACTTACTAGGTGTAAAGTAGACAATATCCTATTTACACCTAATTCGGTGTAGATTTACATTAGAATGGTGTAACATTACCTATTTCCCTGTTAATTTACACCTTGCGATGGTGTAAATATACACTTATTCGGTGTAAAGTGTACCAACACTTGCGAAGTGTAAATTTACACTTTTCCTGGTGTATCATTACACCTAGAACGCGTTAAAATACACGGAGCTGAGGTGAAGTAGAAACTAATGTATTAACTGTTATTGCAGTGTAAATTTACCTTTAACAAGTGTAAATTTACTCAATTTTTGTGTATGGGATAACACCATGATAGTGTAAATATACACCGGAGTGGCGTAAAAATTATGAATGCTTACTTAGTGTAAATCTACACTGAACCTGGTGTATAATTACACTAAGACTATTTTAAGATACACTGGTCTGGTGTAAAGTAGAAACCGAAGTATTAACACCTTTTATGGTGTAAATTTACCCTCAAACGGTGTAAATTTAGCCTATCCCTGTGTATGAGATAACACCATGATTGTGTAAATATACACCGGTATGATGTAAAAAACATGAATGCTTACTTCGTGCAAATCTACACTGAACCTGGTGTATAATTACACTAGACGATTTTACGATACACTGATCTGGTGTAAAGTAGAAAATTAAACGAAGTATTAACACCTATTATGCTGTAAACATACCCTCAAACGGTGTAAATGGACCTAGCTAATTCTGGTGCATGTATGTGATAACACCATGATAGTGTAAAGTGTAAATATACACCAGAATTTGAAGCTCAGATAGGCTATTTCCAGCATTTTGTGGAGTGTTCCAACAAGAAATTAACTTTATAAACAGTGACATATATAATTACTGCAATTTTACAATCTCCCAAATGTAATCCAGTCCCAATAAGGCAACATGATGTGATGATGGCGGTAATGAAAATGTGCGTGGTATAGTATTATCATTCACCACACTTCAAGTTTTACAGTACTGTATTACATGTATTGGGGTACTTGATATCGACGCATTCGCTTCTCAGTGTCACTGAAGAGCACGATAGGGTGGTCTCTTTAGAGTATCTTTGCTTAGAAAAACTAAACTAGAACCTAAAATGCCATTTCATGCCTTTTTCCACGAGCAAATTATTTCAGCCATGGTTTAGGTTTCTGGCGATGTTTAAATTTCAGTCCCCAAAATTCCTACCGAGGCCTGCTACTGGCTAGTTACGGACCTGCAGATTATGGTCAATTTCAGAAATGTTAACAGCTTATAACATCAATTTCTCACTTTGATATACAATTGCTGGTTGACCACCTACTGCAGATAGTTCTTAGGGACCTTGCACTAGGGGGGGGGGTCAAAATTGCTGACTGGAGGGGCCACTAAGAGCGCTGGGGGGGGGCATGACCCCGCAGTCTATATGTTAAAAGAGGCCCTGAGTCATTTTATCTAATTTAATTGGCCTGAAACTGAGTTGATAGTACTCCTAGGAGTTTACGTGGAATTCGTCTTGGTTTATTTCATAATTATTTATATCCAATCTAGCAAAATTTCTACGGGGGCGGATACGTAACTGTAGTCTCCAGAGTGGTAGATCTCCTACGTACAGTCAGACAGCCGTGATAACTAAAATTCGTAAAATTAGGTGTGGAGCTTATATTGCGTCGTAAATGCTTTGATTATTGTCGTTTAAGCAAGATATAATAAGACAGTTAGAATTTTGAAGATAGAAATTAGAATTATAAGTTTCTGTCAAAAAACCGCAACAATACAGTTTAATTTGCACTGGACTGTTCACATGATTGAGATCAGTGCCTTCATATATGGGCTCCCAGAAGGCTTAGCGGGACACATTTCGAGCGCGCCCTTTGGAAATTTTATAACGCTGGTTGATAAATATTATATGGCCAGTTTTCTTAAAATATTTACGAAAATATGAAGAAATACTCCAATTTTTGAAGGTCCACACAATAATCTTAAATGTAAGTGTTAAACTATGTCAATATTTTGAAGTTTCGTGTGTAAATATGTGCCATAAATAGTTGTATTCATGTATATTTTTAACCGCCGTGCCGTTTGTCGCATTTGTATTTTGTATTCGGTTCAACAATATATTGTTACTAAAATACATTAAAACTTAGTGATATTGTTTTGTATTTACAGATTATAATTCCAAGCAATAAATATTGTCATAATATGTGCTCCAAGCAAGTCGAACTGTCGAAATCATGAGACCTGTAAATGTAACGACAACAAACTAGAATACTACAGGCTACAAGAAGGTATGAATATAGTTTAATGTATTGAGACGGTATCAATATTGATTAATTTACCTAATATTGATATAAACGCCGATATATAACCGATATAATATGGCTTTGTATGAGAGGAGAATAATTCCTCCTCTGTGTTTAATATTTATATTGTGCCTATCAATAGATTCCAGACAACCCTAAATATACATATATATTGCTGAATTCCCTGAATACATTCAGGATATATGATGCTTGTGATGTTACTCTGAGTGTATATCCACACCGGGCAAGCTTGAAAAATATGCCTGGCCACGGTGGGAATCGAACCTACGACCTTTGGAATACTAGCCCAACTGAGCTACGGTTCGAGTACTGGTATGTGATATTTCGGAACAGAATCTAGTTCCTTCAATATCAATGTAATCTAGTGATCATGACTTTTTCTGTGTTGGTGTAATGTACTCAGGTGAATATGATGCTTGTGATGTTTCTCTGAGTGTATATCCTGACCGCATAGCTCAGTTGGCAGAGCATTGGGCTAGTATTCCAATTAAGGTCGTAGGTTCGCTTCCCACCGTGGCCAGGCATATTTTTCAAGCTTGCCCGGTGTGGATATACACTCAGAGCAACATCACAAGCGTCATATTCACCTGAGTACATTACACCAACACAAAAAAAGTTATCCAGGATATATGTTTTTCATATTTTTTTCTGTGTTGGTACCTACATTGGGCTAGTATTCCAAAGGTTGTAGGTTCGATTCCCACCGTGGCCAGGCATATTTTCAAGCTTGGTCGGTGTGGATATACACTCAGAGTAACATCACAAACATCATGTTTCTCATAGTTATACCTCTGAGGAATTCCAAGCTCAAAAATTATATATGATCCCCTGTTTGCCCTGAACTGAAGAAATATCCCAATATGCTAAGTACTGTACTATGCAGACACTAATATGGCATAATGCCATAATTAGTAAATGTTTATGACTTATGAATCAAGTTCAGGGCCGTAACTAGACGCGATAATTGGGGTGGCGTATATTCATATAAATAAATTCATGTTCACATACCGTAAAAACAATCGCTTTCAAAAGAAATCCGTCTGGGCAGAGCACAAATATATGAATATACCCCCCCCCCCCACACACACAATGATCGATCTAGCTACGGCCCTGGTCAAGTTGTGTGTTTATATGGAACCGAGGTAGCCCAGATACAAGAGTTCATTGTACATAGTGTTGAACCAACAACCAAGTAGAATTTCATCCATGTTTACTTGAGACTTTTCAGGCAGGTCAGCTCAAAGCACCTATCTTTATTGCTATATATAAGAGCTGTTTACATTGCCCTCTGAAAATGCACCACCGTACGGATACCGGATATCATATCCAGGCTCAGGGCTGCCGAGAGAATTTGCAGGCCCTGGGCAAATCTTCTCTGGGGGCCCCATGACTAGATCTTAGCTAGACTGCATGTGGAGCTACTGTAAGTGGCCCTCAATTTCAAAAATGCTCTCATCAATTTAAAGGACCTACTCAATTTTAGGCTCTCAAGTTGGAGCCCTATTAAGGTTGGGGCCCAGGGCAATTTCCCCCTCCCTCTATTGGCAGATAGTGAGATAATCTTACTATCCAGTATATTGGCAGATACTGGATTTGACCTTTGAACTTTGTGGGCAAGGCTTTGGCAATACCCATGTTTAGAATGAAGTTATTTCCTATGATTTCAAGTATCTTTTCAAGTCAAAGTATTATAAACACCCTCATTTTATAATCAATTAAACTAATTATTTATCTTAAATGAAAGTCTAAACCTTTATATCAACAGTATCCAGTATTCAGCCGGATAATGCAGATATCTTTCTTTCAACTATCCGACATATCTGAAATCTGGCTGGATGGCAAAAATGTCTATCTGGTGCAGCCCTAGAAATGACAAATCAACAAATGCCAGGTGAACAATTGTGACCAATTGTTTTATCTGGCAACCAGGTATTTCCTAAAGGTAACCCTCATTGTGACTGAGAAAAAAGTTTAAAAAAGACAAGTGTATAACTTTAATAAAAATATTGACTTAGGCTAATGAGGTTTTGGGGTAATTAGTTAGGATTATCTACAAACTTTAGACTGTAGACAAATTGGCACAGGAGGGCATGTTCTAAAAGGGAAAAGCTGGCATTGTATAACAGACCCTGAGACACATGTGCAGCAAGCTAGAACTGGTTGAATTTAAATGTGCTTCAGTTACTTCATATTGTATGTCATTGCAACTTTAGAGTTGTGTGTTAATTATTTCCCTGCCGCTACCATGAGAATGAAATTATTATGCATTAGGGATGCACCTGATAGAACATTTTACTATCCAGCCGAATACCATATATGCCGAACGGAAGGAAAATATCCTACCAGATTATCCGGCCAAATACTGGATATAGAGTGGTTATAAAATATATGTAGGATATATAAAATAAGATATAAACTTTAAAAATGTTGGAAGCGAAACCAGGATTCTCTGGTTAAAAAGATTTATTTATTACAAGCGTTCGACTGCCATAATATATTGATTTGAAATGATACAAAAGAACTTCACAGTGAATTAAACTTAAAGTGCCCAAATATACATGTACTATGTTTATTATTTACTGTGACTAAAAATGTTAATCCCAGAAAAGTTTACTCCTCTGGTTAATTGGTTTTAAACGGTCTCTCTGCCAATGTGCCTTGTTAAATCATACTATGCCCTAAACCACTCGACTTGCCCTAAAAAGTGTTACTTGTTGATAGTTTAGCCAGACTTTCTACCCAAATCTCAAATATTTACTCTGACATGTCACCAACAAAAAATTAGATTGGGTTTGTTCCATAAGTTGTTTGATACTTCCTCATAAACCCATAAAAGGTACAGTGCACTCTTTATAATAATCTCTAATGCAAAATAATTATCTTTCAAGGGAACGTGCTGGCTGGCCATTAATGTTTAACGAAGGACAGTTGCACACCAAAACCTTTGTAGATTTTGTGCGCTACAATATAGTGATGTGTTCTTCTTCGACTGTGTCAAAGTGCCATTCAGCAAAGATTCTATTGGTTTCAAATCACCTGTACTGGTAATATGAACTTTAATTTGGATTGTGACCGATATAAACTATGTTGAAATGATTCAACTGAATCGACATATGTAACGTAGACTATAGTTTTAAACTCTAAAAATATATAATTTACATTTGTACTTTCTATTCTCTTCATTGTTTTAACTTAGTAATTCAGTTAAATTGCATGAGTTAATAACATACAATCTTAAGCAGCATTTATACAAAAAGGTATTTTTACATTACATTAAGTTTATATTGAATATAGCTACTTTAGACATCAATTGGATGCACATTTACATCACAAACCGTATCAGTACAGTAGCTGTATTCAGTAAGTACGTAATGCAGTGTAAAAAGACTTTTAGAGGTGTTAGTTTACGCTTGTAGTGTAGATTAACACCAGTTGGTGTCCACACAGCTGCAAGGTGCTTTACACCAAAACAGCGTAAAAATATCTTCGGAAATGTTATTTTACGCTCGTAGTGTAGATTTACACGAAATCGGTGTCCACACAGCTGCAACCTATTTACACCAAAACAGTGTAAAAATATCTTTGGAGGTGTTACTTTACGCTCGTAGTGTAGATTTACACCAAATCGGTGTTCACACAGCTGCAAGCTATTTACACCAAAAGAGTGTGAAAAGATCTTCGGAGGTGTCATTTTACGCTCGTAGTGTAGATTTACACCAAATCGGTGTCCACACAGCTGCAAGCTATTTACACCAAAAGAGTGTGAAAAGATCTTCGGAGGTGTTATTTTACGCTCGTAGTGTAGATTTACACCAAATCGGTGTCCACACAGCTGCAAGCTATTTACACCAAAAGAGTGTAAAAAGATCTTCGGAGGTGTCATTTTACGCTCGTAGTGTAGATTTACACCAAATCGGTGTCCACACAGCTGCAAGCTATTTACACCAAAAGAGTGTGAAAAGATCTTCTGAGGTGTCATTTTACGCTCGTAGTGTAGATTTACACCAAATCGGTGTCCACACAGCTGCAAGCTATTTACACCAAAAGAGTGTGAAAAGATCTTCTGAGGTGTTATTGTACACTCGTAGTGTAGATTTACACCAATTCGGTGTTCACACAGCTGCATCTATTTAACACTGAAAAGGTGTATTTTAACACCAAAATGAGTGTAAGTAAACACTAAATCGGTGTCCACACAGCTGCAAGAATTTACACCGATTTCGGTGTTGTGGTAACACTCCCAGATTTACAGTGTAGTGCTGAAGTAAATAATAATGATCCGTTGGAGATAACAGTTCTTCACAGAGCGGTAGAATATATGGATCACTAGAGATTGTTAAGAATTTAGTTGTGCTTGGCGCTGAAATAAATGTTGACGATTTGCGGGGCAGAACGGCACTTCACATGCCTGTAAAGTGTGGATCACTAGATATTGCCAAGTACTTAGTTGAGCACGGTGCTAATGTAAATAGTAATGGTCGGTTGTGCATACTTCGCAGTGCAGTAGAATGCGGATCACTAGATATTGTGAAGTATTTTGTCGAGCATGGTACAGAAGTAAATGGTAAATATTTGTGTGGCAAAACGACTATTCGTGAAGCTGTAAAATGTGGACACTGGATATTGTCAAGTATTTAGTTGAACATGGCGCGGAAGAGAATGGTAAAAATGAGTGGTTCACCACAGTTCTTCAGTGTGCAGTAAAGAGTGGATCACAAGAGGTTGTCAAGTATATAGTTGAGCATGGCGCACAAGTAAATGTGGGAACCTTTTCGTCGCTGTGCTGCGGAAAGCGGATTTCCGGATATTTTGAAACATTTAATTGCGCATGGTGCTGAATTACACAGTAAAATTTTCTGCCCCTTAATAGTGAATAGCAAAGATGAGTGGGGTATACCAATTTTTCACAATGCTGTAGAGGGTGCATCGCTGGAAATTGTCAAGTATTTAGTTGAACATGGTGCTGAAGTAAATGCCAAATATATGTTGGGCGAAATAGCTCTCTCCAAAGCTCTCAAATTCAAATCACTAGAGATTTTTAAGTATTTAGTTGATCATGGTGCTGAAGTAAGTAATCAGGATACGAAAGGGAAAACGGCTCTTCACATTGCTGTCGAGTATGGATCACTACACATTGTCAAGTGTCCAGTTGAGTGTGGCGCTGAGGTCAATTGTCAAGACATTCGCCGCGAAACAATTCTTCACAGCGCTATAAAGCATAGATATTTTTGACATTACGAAATGTTTAGTTCAAACTGGTGCGGATATCAACTGTACAGATCCTGCCGGCAGGACAGCTGTTGAACTCGCTGTGTGGTTAAACGATATAGAACGTGTACAATATTTAGTTGAACATGGTGGTGATGTGCATTCTAAAAGTATGCTCGGAAACGAATCGGTTCAACCCTGTCCTGTAGAGCTTCAATCAGGAGACATGTTAAAATATGGTTTTCCAAATACATATTTTGAGGAATATAAAGGGAAGTTTGATCTTGGTATCGACATTCTAGAGATGGCTGTAGTCCATTATTTGATTGATTTGGCACAGCTTCTGATAGAAAAGTACATTGATGTGAGGCGAGTCGAAAAAATTCTGATTGAGAAAGCAAAAAAAGACTCTCGTTGAGCATAGTAGAGAACTTGGTCATCATGAGATTACAAATATTCTGAAGTCGCATATTAACGAAGTCTGTTAGACACCGTGAGAAAATTCGAATGTTGAAAAAATGTATCCCAAACAATCCAACAAGGTAATACATACCATTTCTCATAAACGATAAGTATTTAATATATACAAAACAGTGAATACTATTAGCTCATATATTAACTACAGTGAAACACGCAATTTGATTGGTCAATAGCCGTGTAGGATCAGGCTATCCTGCACGGGGAATTAAAATGCCTTCGTGGGATTCTCAAAATGTCCTTGTTTTACTGTAGTTACTTTTAACAATTACCAAATGATTTTCCAAGTAGGATAGCGTGGTCATGCACTTGCGATGTTACTCGACTTTCGGAAAGCGTAAAAATACACTCGCCTGCGGCTCGAGTATTTTTACGCTTTCCGAAAGTCCCGCGGCATCCCTCGTGCATGGATCACGCCGTCCTACACTGAAAACCATTCATTTCTTTAATTATGGTCTTTCAATAAATAGCAATATTTTTAAGAAAGGTGCAAATAGATAAGGATACAACTACCTGAAAAATACAAAGCGAAATTCGACATTTCAAACGATGGCTCTTTGTTTGGAAGTTAGTATCGTGGCTCAGAAAAATTAGATGAGCTTTTATACCTGTGAATATTAAAAGCGATCCGGTGACAAAAACATATACCAATCAGATGGATTTAGTAAAAACAAAGTGTAAAAAAATGTAAGTCGTTTTGCAGAGTATATTAATACAAATATAATATACAGAAAACTGCAACAAATACGAAAAAATACATGAAACAAGTATGGAATAAGGTAAGAATTTAAGGTATCCGAGCCCCACTACTAAATTCCCGACGGAAAGCCTTGCTCGAAACGTCGAAGTTCTTCAAGTAGTTGTATCCCTGTCCATCCGCAGTTTCTTATTATCGACACTATATTCCTACACTGGAACAGACCGTTCAACAATATTTTAAGGATGAATTCATATTTGAGCCATACATACAGCATACATTCATACTTAGGCCTACTTTATTTCTATTTCTTACTTTTGACATCTCCCTGACAATTCTCTTTTTGGGGGTTAATTTCCTTTTACCTTCCTTAATTGCTTTCCATCTGTCTCCTTTACTTCAGTGCATGTATTTACTAAATTACCGTACGTAACGACTATTTTTAACAATAGATGGATGTACCAATGCACGCGTTTGTCCCAAACAAAGAATTGAAAATTGGCAATGGTTCTATGGTACGTGTGTTTATGTTGGTTTGATGGACGATGAAAGTGAAGTCGTGGTAAAACGAATGTTAACACAAAGTGGAGAAGATGCAGCTGAAAATGAAAACGGGATTTTAAATCTGATAAAGACAGAGGTATTCCCATTTATAGTCAGCTATCGACATTTTTTCCGCGATGACACCTTTTTATACCTAAAAAATTTAAAAATTTTTATTATCGAAAATAAATTTTTAATAATATCAAAAATTAAATTAAATTATTAATTTTTTATTATCGAAAATAAATTTTTTATTATTTAAAATTTTTTATTATTTTTTATTTTTTAAATTTTTTTATTATCGATCTGTGTGAAGAAAACTTGAACAATTACATCCAGTGACAAAATATTGATTACCTCTAACAACATGGCTCAAGAATGATCAAAGAAATATTAACAGAACTTACATTTTTACACGATCGACAGATTTTGCATAAAGATCTAAAACCCCTAAACATATTTGTCGACATTGAAGGTCGCATGAGATTGGCCAACTTTGCAATAAGTCGCGTTCTAAAAGAAGATGAAGCGACAGACTTCACAGATCCAAAAGGAACTCCAAACTGGATGCCTGCAGAAGTAATTGAATCAATAAACCGTAACGAGAAATGTCGTTTCAAAAAGAAATCTGATGTCCAGGTCGCAGGCATGATTGCATTATTCATTTCAACCCAAGCTAAACACCCATTTGGTTTTTCACCTGATTGCATGGGCAATATCCTGAAGGGAAATCCAGTAAACTTGGGGAATCTTGATGATCTTCATGCCCGACAGTTTATTACAAGGCTTATTAGTCATGAAATTAATGATCGACCCTATGCTCACGAAGCGTTGGAACATTCTTTTCTCAACAATAACAGATATAATTTTTGCTATATGTGATCGTCAGTAAGAATGGTGCTAAAAAAATGAAGTGTCAATTTTAGAGCAACCAATGTCGAGAAATGTCATTTGAAAAATATGATTTTTACTATAGTCAACTTGAATTTTGATCGAATGGTTAAGACGCTGCATGGTCCCTCACTAGGGCAACTGATATATAAACATGACGAATGCAAAGCTAACCATTAGGAATAATATAAGCATTTACATTAAGTATTATGGGAAAGATAAACACATCGCTTACAGGAATATATAAATTTAAACTAAAGGTGGAAAACACTCGTTTTACAACCAACGTTTCATTGTTTTACAGCCAATGAAAATTTCAGCACAGCTAGCTACATGGCAACTGTTTGTGCTATGCTTAAATAGTCGGTAGCATGCATTGATTTGTTCAATATTTTTTCAGCTAGTGCATGTTATTATCATAGCATGATCAGTTGCCGTAGCTAGCTAAATATATAGTTGTGTAAATGCATGAAGTTAGTTGTTAGTTTTTTTGCTATTTGATGTTAACGTGTTGTCCTTGCGTTCGCAGTAATTGGCTAATCGCTGTTGCGAATACCCTGCCATATAGTCTAGTTAATTCGTTAAATTATTACTTTGTAATAACTGTTAAGACTATTTGGCAAAGTTAATAAATTAACGTTGTTGAAAATACAATTTTACATAACGTTTTAGCGAAACGCAAAAGCTCACACGTTTAGTAGACGAATTGGCTGAGACGATTAAAACCCTTAGGCGAAGGCAGATTTGAATAACTAAACGACTACAAAAGGGTATAGATAGGGATACAATAATTTATTATATAGAGAGTGAAAAATATACAGTGGGGATATTTTCCATATCTTCACTAGTGAAGATATCGATCACGTGACATTTTCCAATTTGCTGTTGAGCGTGAAATTTCACAATTTTTTGATTGGGACTATTTATTAGATAATTACTGAGGCCAGCGGCATTATTGGATATATAGCAGCCAGCTGGGGCAGCTGCTCGAAGTAATTATCTATTATAATTACTGACCCGAATCAAAAGTAATTATTTTCGGCTGGAAGACTACGTTGCTGCTTGTCGGGACCGTATGACAATGAACCTATCCAACGTTACACTAGACATTTGTGAGGACATGCATTTAATGCATCGTGATAGAACAGATTTCAGTTTCAAGGAGATCTACAGTCCGATCTGCGCATGTGCACAAATGAGCCCACTTTTTATGATACAAACAGTTTAACTATGTTTTGAGTTCTTGAAAAGCCTGATTGTTGTTTCTTGATCATTTATTATACTCTAGAAGCTTGAAAATATAAATAGTTGTCAAATAAAGCTAAATATTTTGGACACAAAAATGTAAACAAAGGCTTTGTTTACATACGGACTGTAGATCACCTTTAATTAATCGCCCTAAATTAAAATCTCCACAAGCGGAGGTCAATTCTAGTGTTCTAGTTTACATATTATCGTTAATGATAAGGTTAATTCAAAGAGCGTATTAAACTGGATAAACACGGGAATAGAACTTATGTTGTGTTCTGCACATGCGTATATCTAGGATAAAATCCCACAAGCGCAAACGAAACTATGTCTCTATAAAATTGAGCTGAAAGGAGTCACAGTGACCGTTTTTGGCAGTGCTTCAAGCGCCCGATGATATTGTATGAGGGGCCTTTACACTGTCACCTTCTCATCTTGACGTGTTCACGTTATCGGCGTCGCGTGTACATGTCAGGGTGACGAAGATCCATTATTACTCGCTGGGGCACCCTGTGCCCCAGACGAGTATAGGTTTCGGCTTCAATCTCCAATCTCCGATCGTCGATAGCCACAAAATAGAATATTAATGAGCTATTTGATCCTTTTCTAAATGGCGTGGCCTTTCGTGGAGTGGGCAAAATGTTTCAAACAATTCCGGGCCCCATTTCGTGAAAATTTTGGCCGAATTGTACGTGTTTTCTAGGGATTTTGCTTTGTGTCTAACTCTGGACATTCATGCTAGTTTATTTAATGCATTTTTCTTGGTGCACGACTCTCAAAATCCGAAATTTGGATCGTTGAATTCCCGTGCACGAGCATAATATACTGAATCTGAATATATAAAGGAGTCAAAGACAATTTCAAGGTAAAAGTACCACCGTTCGATTCAGCGTAAGAAATTGTACTTACGGATGTCAAATGTATTACTAAACATCAGTATTCTAGCGATTTATGGCCTTTGAAAATCAAGCGAAATTGTATTGTCGCGCTACGTTTGTCCTTGACCTTCTATTTGTATTGCCTAATTAATGGCGCAATACGAATAAAAATACCACCGTTCGATTCAGCGTAAGAAATTGTACTTACGGATGAGAAATTGTACCTACGGATGTCAAATATATTACTAAACAACTGACAACAGTATTCTAGCGATTTATGGCCTCTGATTTTGTCTTTGAAAGCCAAGCGAAATTGTATTATTTGTTGACAAATCGCTCTAATTATAAAAGATGGAGTACGTTTGATCCTTGATAACTTTGGTATCATTGGTTTTCTCTTTTTCGGCCGTACACCAGTGGATTCGTCTCACTTCTCTCTTCATTTAGATAATATTTTGAGCCCAAAAGCCCCAAAATATTTTATTTTGAACGTTTTAAACTGGCGGCAGACAGAAGAATGTAGCGTACCACCAGTATGGAATGTAACTTTTTCGTGCACCGGACAAGGAAGTTGATCATTTTTTGTGCGCACCATTGGTTTGTCTACCAGCCAAAGATTTGTGCACCACCGAATTTTTCACTTCCTTAAATCTCGTGCCGATTGCCAAAGGCATGAGACGATCTCCAACGACGCGAGATACCTGGGGGGAGGGGGTGGTGCAGGACAGCAGGAGCATGCAGTCAAGAGAAATTTTTAAATTTAAAGTCCCTGAAATGCCATTTCCTGGACTTTGGCGGAAGATTTTAAACAATTCTGATGGTCAGAAAACAACATTGTAAAATCCAAAAAGTCATTTTTTTCTTGGAAAGTCAATTTTTCTCGTAAAGTAAAGCCTTCGAAATATTATTCAACTCAAAGTTTCTGGTGGTCAGCAGTATGTAAGCGTACTTCATTTAGTCTACGTTATATTGGATCCTGGGTCCATAGCTCAAAAGGGAATATATTATCCAAAGCGGCAAAGCCTACCCCACTCAGGTCTACATATTCCAGATACTTTCCAGAAATAAGTTTTACTAATTTTTGCTGTAAATCTATTTGACGAATTAATATTCTGAATCCTGAATTATGCACCAGTGCGCCACCCTTTCTTAACTTGTTATGTGTACACAAGATGTGCATAACAGATTACTATTGTAAAATATTGTGCACCAGAATGTCCACCAATGAAGGGTGTTGTGCACCGGACATGTTGTACCATAAAATATAACTTTACTTGTGGGCATAAACGCCGGAAGTTTCCCTAATAGCTCGGGGCCAGGCTTAATTTCCACACCAGGCTTAATATACGCACGTAAAACTTTAAATTTGTAAAATAACCAAATAAATAAAGCAACAGAATTTACTGCTCCGCAAGTTTTAGTATGAATTTGTTAACTTATTTGTAATGCATTTAAAAATAGAAGGATTCAAAGTTTTACGTGCGTGTACGTGCGTACGGAAAACGCAACAGTGGAATCAGCCTTTAGATCTTAACAGTAATGTGCTTCAATTGTGTAGCCCCAGCGAGTTAACGCTCCACAGAGCGTCTTGTTGCTAATAATGTCTTTGTGCACTGATGTACGCTGCATTATTTTTAATAATGCTGTGTGGTATTTTAGCCTGTATAAACATTTACCCCTGGAAATTTCTCTACAATCAAAAAAGACCGCTCCCGTTTTTCAGAAGAACGTTAAAACTTCTCGAAATTCGCTGATATAATGCAGAGAGAAAACAATAGGTTTGATGGGGGTTAGTAATTATATAATAAACAGAACATTACACGGTGGCTTGAAGATATATGACTTTTATCTTCTCGTATTAAAAACAATATTTTACTCACTCGCTGCGTTCGTTCATACGTGTTGGTGGTGTTGGTGGTGTTGGTGGTGTTGGTGGTGCTGGTGGTGTTGGTGGTGTTGGTGGTGTTGGTGGTGTTGGTGGTGTTGGTGGTGTTGGTGGTGTTGGTGGTGTTAATAATAATACTTTATTTCAAATAACAATATATTACACTGATATTTGAAAAAGGTAGACCTTGAGGTTAGCCCTATATTCAAGTCACCGTATTTGAATCTAATCTAGTATAAAAGGTTATAAAATATGTACAAATGTCCTCGATGTTACGAACTTAATGCTAATCTTAATGAATGTTCATGCACTTCTTGAGCCTTCCTTTAAATGTTCTTATATCAGGCTCGTTGCCGCAATTTACCACAATACTTGGCAAATCATTCCACAGTTTAATTACTCTAACGAAAAAAGAGTACTTGTGACAATCTACTCTAGTAAACTTAGTTTGCAATTTGTACTGATGGTTAGCCCTAGTTTTCTTACTCTTACAATGTTTAAAATAGTCGCTGAAGTTTAGACCGTTTAAATTAAAGACAGCTTTATAACATTCGATCAGTGAGAAGTATTCTCTTCTTCTTTCCAATGAACTCCAATTTAAGATGTTAATCTTTCTTCATACGCTATCTCTTGCCTCCTTTGACCCAGTGCAATACGCGATGCTCCTCTTTGAACAGCCTCAACCATTTTGATATCTTTCACTAAATGTGGATCACACACGGCGCATGCATATTCTAATATTAACGAACGAGTGATTTGTAAAGCATTGAAAAAATATCCCTGTTTCTGCCACCCACTGTACGTGTTATCAAGCCAAGGGTTTTATTTGCTTTATTTACTATTGATTCTATGTGTTTAGACCATTTTAGGTCGGTTGTAACTATGACCCCAAGATCTTTGTAATCTTGTACGTTCTTTAATTCTTTATTAGAAATATAATATTTATTTCTAATTTTGTCTCTTTTATGGGCTATTTTCAA